CTTTTCTCCTTGTCTGCCATCTTACCCCCACCTCATGGCCACACCGGCGTAAATATCTTCTTCCCTCAAATTGTCTCGAGCCTTAAAAATCCTTATTTAACCTGTCTCCTCCCCTTCATCCTACACTGATTGAAGTGGATTTGGGATTTAACAGGTGACATCAATAAGGGACATAGCTTTCACCTGGATTCACCTGGTCAGTCTGTCATAGAAAGAGCAGGCGTTAATGTTTTGTATACTCTGAGTATATTACATGTATTTGCTCTGACTGAGGCCTTGCCTTGGGAGTATAGCTTTTTCAGTCTCTATACTGAAAAAGCTCTATTGAATATGTCTTACCAGTAAATTATATGCAGTATTTTTATAGCACATTATTTTCTGCTCTTTGATAATCTCTTGTGGGCAGAATATGTAAACATAAAATGGTACCATAGCTCTGTCTTTATACTATGGGCACTGATAGATAATGAGCAGCAATAGTTCTAGCGCTTAAGGTTTTCGAACGAATCACAATTTCTGAGGTGTTAGCATTTTTCCAATTTCGGAAGGTCAGGGGACATTCGGCCCATAACATGCAAAGACCTCCTTGTTCTAGCATCATATGGACCCAGAAATGAATAGAGCAGAGACTTTAGTTCTGGGTTAACTGATATTAGCTCTTTGATAATCATTGAGATAAATAATTGCTTTATTAAATATCCATAAATGTATGAATATACAGTACCTTTACTTAACTTTTATTACAAAATAAGTTCATTATTTTTTATCGAGTCTCACTTTCTGGAAGAGACTTGTCAGGCTAAGATTTTGTATTTATTATAACTTATAATGAAACAAACCAGTTAAAAGCAACAAACAGCTTTCCATTTATTTCATTAGACTTTTGCAGAATGTCTCAAATGTGGTCAGGTATACCTAATGTATCACAGCTATTTACCCTGCACAGTTGTTTTAAAGCTGTACTATTTCAAAACAGAGCACAGATGCAGAGAATAGTACAAGATGTTATCACGTTATGTCAGCCAGAGGAAGTTTTACAGTTTGTTTCAGTTTCACAATCAATTATGTGTGCAGTTGAGTTTAACAGCCATACACTGATGTGTTGAGAAGCCTATTCTTATGTGATGGACAGAGAAATACAACATTTTTGGGAGTGTTGGCTGAGGAGGAGTGACCAGTAGTAACAAAAACAAAAGTAATAACAGCCAACTCATTGCTTTGCATAGTGAAGTCGTCATAGCTACACAGTGGTAGTATATTGGCATTAAATATTGGCCTAATGACGACGAAGTGGACACACACTGGAGTTGAAAGGAGCACAGGGCCCTTCTCCACAGTGTCTCAGAGTAGGAGTGCTGATCTGAGATCAGTTTAGCCTTTTAAACCATAATGAATAACCGGGGGGGTCCTTGACTAGCACTCCTATTCTGAGACACTTTGTGAATATGGGCCCTGAGCTTTTGCAGGTTTCTATGACAGTTTTAACCACATACTGTCCAACGCTCAGTGGTGTTGGACAGAACGTTAGAGACGTCCACTGCAGAAATAGGACTCCAGGATCAGGCCTCTTGTTTCTTCAAGCAAAACAACGTGCACTTTTATTTACAAGAGCGGGTTTGATTGTAATGCTCAGGTTTTCCCCCCTCAGTTGCACAACTGAATGCATTAAACTGTAATGTGTCTCCCGCTTTTAACCCAAACCCTCCGAATCAGAGAGGCGTGGGGGGCACCCTTAATCGACGTAGTCGGCGCCCGGGGAACAGTAGTTATTGTTGGGGGTTAACTACTTTGCTCAAGGGCAGAATGGCAGATTTTTCTGTTACTGGCTCATAGTGATGGGTCATGCGCACAAGCATCGGCTCTGAGAGCCGGCTCTTTGTAGTGAATCAGAAGAGCCGGCTCGCATCGAGTGAGAGCCGGCTCCCAGTTTTTTGCCCATTCGCTGCTTAGGTTTCACTTTCACAGAGGTCTGTTATGATTGGCCAGCATGGCGACCAGCATGCGGCATTCACGTGAGAATTAAGGATGTGTAAACAGAGAGGGGGCGGGGCAGACACACCACTTGACTCCACTGCAAGTGAAGAGAGAGACAGAGCGGACTGAGGAGCGTGTGTGCGTCTTGCATTGTCGTGTCGTTTAACTATGAGTGACACTAGAAAGCGAAGCAGCATCTGGCTGCAGTTTAAAGATATTGGGAACAAGAAAGCAGAGTGCCTTCACTGCAAAACGAAGGTCACTATAAGAGCAGGTTCCACCACAAACCTGCATAGACATACAAGAACTGTCCATCCTACAGTGCAGTTAGAGGAGAGAGGGCAAGCCAGCTCACCATCTACTGATCCTGGTGTGTCTCATACCAGAACAACAGCTGCTGTAACGTCTACTGCCATCCCCATGCGTGCAAGTATAACCTCTCCTACTGCAACTCAAAGCAAAATAAGTCAGTTTTTACCTAAACTGATGACCCCAGCCAAACAGCACAGTATTGATGATGAGTTGGCTAAAATGGTAGCTTCTGATTTTCAACCCTTTTCCATTGTGGAGGACAAAGGAATGAAAAACTTTGTCAAAGCCCTAAATCCCACATACACTCTACCCAGTAGAAAAACACTTTCCCAAACAATGATCCCAAAACTATATGACACAGAACGTGCATTATGGCAAGAAAGGGTGACAAAAGCTCCATCAGTTTGCCTGACAACTGACTGCTGGACCTCCAGAACAACCTGCTCTTTCATGTCTGTCACTTGCCACTTTATTGAAGATTACAAGATGACATTGCCTTCTGGACTGCTTCGAGTTCACCGACAGACACACTGCAGAAAACTTGGCAGTGGAGCTACTAAGAGTGGCAAAAGAGTGGCAAGTAGAGGACAAAGTGGTGTGCTGTGTGAGTGATAATGCTGCAAACATCACCAAAGCCATAAAAGTTTTGAAGTGGACCCATCACCCATGTCTGGCGCATACACTAAACCTGGTGGTTAGAGATGCTCTGAAGGTGATCAAAACAACCGTGGATAAGGTGAAGGCTGTTGTGGAGTTTTTCCACAAAAGCACAGTAGCAGCACAGAAGCTAAAGTCCACACAGCGCCAAATGGGGATTCCTGAACTGAGGCCCAAACAAGAGTGTGCCACCAGGTGGAACTCAACATTTGATATGTTGAAACGAATGCTTGAAATAAAAGATGCCATCATCTCCACCCTGGCCCTCATCAACGCATCTATTGAGCCATTAAGCCAAGAGGAATGGGAGCTGGTGAAAGAGGTCTGCGCCGTCCTGCAACCATTCCAGGAGGTGACTGTGGAGATAAGTGCAGACAGGTACCTAGAACCATTGAAGCATTGTTTTCTCTACTACTATTCAGTCACTATTATACATTGCAAACACAACACATACAGTATAATGCATCACGTATAATATGCCACATACTTTTAAAAAACTAAATTCTAAAAGTTGCTGTTTTCTCTCCTTCAGCTATGTCACAGCCTCGAAAATGCTCCTGCTTTGCAAAGGTCTGCAGCTGGTGACAGCCGAGAACCAATGGACAGTAACTGTGCAGAAAGTGAAGGAATTAGTTGCAGCTCTTTGTTCAGCCATGGACCGCAAATTTCTGCGGATGGAGTACAACACTGTCCTTTCAGAAACTACCTTATTGGATCCAAGGTTTAAAAAACTTGCCTTCAGTGATCGTAGAGCTGTTGATGAAGCTCTTCAGAGGATTAGTGCAGCAGCAGCAGCAAAATGCACCCCCAGCAGCCAGCCAGCTCCACCATTACAGGGCCAAGTGGAGGAGGAGCAGCAAACCTCTGCTGTTTGGAGGCTTTTTGATGACAGAGCTACAGGAGATGCTTCAAGGAGAAATCCGACAGCTGATGCTATAATGGAGGTGAGGAGCTACCTTGAGGAGCCCCTCATCCAGAGAGCAGAAGACCCACTGAGCTGGTGGCAGGCCAAGGCCTCAGTCTTTCCACTCCTGGTGAAGGTGATGGAGGGGAGACTATGTATTGTTGCCACATCAGTTCCTTCTGAGAGAATCTTCTCCAAAACAGGGCAGATACTCACGGAGAGGCGAAATCGTATCAGGCCTATCAGCCCATCCAAGCTGAGGCATCTGATCTTCCTGAATGCCAACCTGCCCTGAGGACTAATGCTGTTTGCTGGAGTTTGGTTCTGGTTTTGATTCTGTTCTGTGGATTTGTTTGAAGTTTATTGTTAATTTGTGCAATAAAAAAGTTTAATTGAAATAAACAAATGTAAGAGTGGTTTTGTCACAGAATAAATGCACAGAATTAGGCATTATAAGGTCTCTCATAAAAACACTGAAAGCAAAAGGGTTTTCAACACATAAACCATGATTTTTTTTCAAAGTTAAGGTAAAATATAGGCTACAAAAGATCCTAAATAAAGAGCCGTTCGGGAGTCGAAAGAGCCGGCTCTTCTTTGGGAGCCGAGTCAAAAGAGCCGGCTCTCAGAAAAGAGCCGAACTTCCCATCATTACTGGCTCAACTCTCTTAACCACTTGGCTACCTACCTGTGAGTCCAGTGAAGCCTACTGTAGATGAACTGTTAAAAACTCCCTTCTTCACACGCCAAAGTTTGATAAACGGAGTCACAAGAATACCAAAAATATATATAAACAAAAACAATTCTCAAAAGTTTCTGAAGTAGCTCTTCTAGATTCCTGTGTAAAGATGACTTAATTCCAAAGCAAGTGCTCACTGCTAAAACAATCAAGATATGACATGAAAAGAGATACTCTAGCTATATGAGAAAAGGTACGTTAAGTGCCTAAAAATACCTACCACTCGCCTTCTTTAAATAGTTTTGTTTTGAACAAATATAAAGTGCAGTACACATTCAGGCGCAGATTCTGTTGCATACAAAAATAAGTCTGTGGGGAGCTCAGCCCTTCTCCTCCATTTTGTAATATTCCTATTGAGAGAGCATCAATTCCTAGAGGGGAGATGATTTGGGGGACGGGGAGCTTGCACCACAATCGTTATGTCTCCATCATGCGCAGGTCGTCTGTTTCTGAAGTAACTTCCTCCTTGGACCATCTCCCTTCTTTGTTAGTCCACAAGCCAGCCTCCAGACAACGCTTCACATGGTACTCTGCCACCTGGTGGTACAACCAGACAGGGACAATGAAAGAGCAACTTCAACTCATGAGAGAATTCAAAAAAAAAAAAAAAAAAATGCTATAAACCATAACTCTGTAATCTAAAGAAGAAACAGACACCCTTATACAATTTGATTAATTAATCTGTGTGTGTTAGTTCTAAGGTTGCCTGTTCCAAACACTATGCCCCCTGGGAAGTGTAGTATAGGACCATAATCCACCTGCTCTGTGGGGCATCTTGACACTAACACCTTTCAGCAGCACTCATCAGGACCCGTATTCAACAACCATCTCGGAATAGGAGTGCTGGGCCCGTATCCACGCCTCAGAGTAGAAAATTGGTCATAAGTTCTGAGGAGAGACATTTTACTCTTATGGGTAAAAATAAAAGCTATGCATGTCATAAGAGTCTCACCTTGTAGACAGATATTTAGGAGACCTCTTGAGCTGTCCTAACCAGTTAACCCGTTTACACTCGTGGGAATTGGCCTATATGGATAGGGCTAAACTGAAAGGTCTAAGGCACTGCATCTCAGTGCTTGAGGCATCACTACAGACCCCCTGGTTCGATTCCAGGCTGTATCACAACCGGCCGTGATTGGGAGTCCCATAGGGCGGCGCACAATTTGCACAGCGTCAACCGGGTTTGGCCGGTGTAGGCCGTCATTGTAAATAAGAATTTGTTCTGAAGTAATTTAAATGCACTTTTATGGCTCAAAGAAGATTCTTCAATTATAAAGTGCTTTTTTGCTCTCATAGCTGGACCATTTAGGAACTAGGGCAAACGCACTAGTAGTTGTTTTGTTTGGACACAACCCTGCATCCCCACAATCACAGAACGACTGTTGATGTTTATGCGATCTAAAAACGGTCCATCATAAAATCACAATCTGGGTCAGGTAGGCATAATTTAAAAGCTTGTTCTATTGCCAACATGACTAGCTAAGTTATAAAATATGATATTTGTGTTCAGCTTTCACAATACAATTCAGGGAAAAATATAATCATTTTGGAGCACATAGAAAGGAGTCATGAGTGCATTCAGGTGCGTGTGCCGCGGAAAACTCCTTACATAAAGAAACATAGGCTCATTCTGTTCAGAACAACCCAGGGAATGACACCATGTCATCTTGGATCAAATGGTGATCATAAACGTTGACACTGTATATGACATGAGTTTTATGATATGGAAATGTGAAGTGCACATTTGGATTAACGGGTGTTTGGCTCATATGACATCAAAGCAGTATTTATTATCATCCTCAACATCTCATCTTTCGAAAAATACATTGAGTCCTCTTAATTTACAGCATTTCCCTCACTAAGACAAAAAATGTGCTAAAGTTGCCCAATTAGTGGGAGGGATGGGGGGGGGGGGGGATGGGGGGGATGGGGGGGGGGGGACTTCTTGTTGCGTGCGGTGCTCAAGTTCAGATCAGCTGTCAGTCAAAACGCTACAGAGCCGTGAAGTGGAGACCCTGAGCTCTGACGTCATTTATATAGCATTTATATTTTACATTTTAGTCATTTAGCAGACACTCTTATCCAGAGTGACTTACAGTTAGGGAGTGCATACATTTTTCATACTGGCCCCCCCGTGGGAATCGAACCCACAACCCTGGCCACATGCAATTGCTTTGGAGTTGATTTTTATATTTCAGTTTTGTTATGATCAATCCATTAATAATCTACACCTACATGCAACAGTATCTCTTACGCTTTTGAAAGTGATTTAACTTGAGGCCTATTTCACATGACATGCCTAAATACTTATAACCACTAGGGTAATATACTTTTTTTTTCTCCTTAGATTATTTAATTACCTACATCATGTTATTTCCAGTTCCTTTGGAGTGCAACAACACGTTAAAAAAATATGCCTACATTGGGCATGCCTATAATTTGGGCAATTGAAGGCATCTAGGGCTTATGTTAACTTTGATTGTGTTAGATGGAAATGATAGATCTTTGAAACGTTGCATGCAACACAATCTGCAAGTGACTTGATGCCTACTGTGCCAAAGCGATTTAGAGTTGTTATAATAATATAATATATATCCAAAGCGACTTACAGTCATGTGTGCATACATTTTTACGTATGGGTGGTCCTGGGGATCGAACCCACTACCCTGGCGTTACAAGCGCCATGCTCTACCAGCTGAGCTACAGAGGACCAAAAAACAGGAGTGATGAGTGTGTTGATAGAACAGTAATATTGTCAAAATTCTACTTTTAACAACCATCAGAATTGGTTAAAGAAAGGTTATGCATGCCACCATATTAGGCAATAATTAACAGTAGGCAAAGTGATCGTGTCAGGCGAAAGTTATATCAAACATTTATCATTGCAACATTTGATGTACCGTCACATTCACCGTGGTTGTCTGAAGCGAGTTCACAGCTGGCGAGGGCTCGTCGCAATTGGTTATTCTCCATCATTTGCAACAATGTCAATGAGCGTCATCACCATCTTTCCTTTGCGGTACCTCAAACTGTTGTGATTATAAACCTTTATGAGTTGATTTTACTCCTGCCTCAGAGTTTGTCTGGGAAGTGTCTTAACATCATCCAAAAACTTTTTTAGTCTTAAAAAACAGGTTTTAACAGGATTCCTAAGACCTTTTCTGAAATGTTTTCATCCAGGATCAGCTCCCTACCCCCTGTCCATAGAATCATATTTATTATGATCTAAGAGGCAAATTGATCCTACACCAGCAGCACTCTTACTCTGGAACACTTTGTGAAATAGGCCCAGTGCTTAGTGATACTGTGGGGGAGAGGGTTGGAGACTAGACCTGTCTGAGCTGCTCTGAGTGAATGTACATGGGATATGTACCAAATGGCACCCTATTCCCTTTATAGTGCACTACTTTTGAATGGGTCCTGATCAAAAGTAGTGCACTATATAGGGAATAGGGTGCCATGTGGGACATAATGGGATTAACCCACTGAGCTGCCCAAGCAGATTATAATGCTTATGTAACAGGAGTTTCTCTTCTGCGTTCATTGGCCCACATCTAGAGTTCCAACCAGGCCCCAACTGCTAACTAAGTGTTATTTGTGGAGGAGGAGAGGACATGACATTTGTTTCATTTCCTCTTTTCACTCTCTTTTAGGATTTGACATGGAGTCAGGCTTCGGAGGGCCAGTTGGGGGTGATATTCTTTCACTCTCTTCCTCTCTTTTCCTCTCCCTCTCTCCAGGAAGGAATTCTGTTCTAGAGGAACGCACTGAATGTTAATTTACTTTCGTAAATTAGAGCGCACGGCTTGAACATTAACTTGGGCTCTTGGGATATATTTCCATATTTTAACTCAATGTTTATATAAGAAATACATGTAAGAAATAAGGCCCCTCTCACAGTATAGCTGACATTTTTCTAAGTTTCAAGATTATACCTTGTACATGTGGTATCAATTGGCATAGGAGTAATTAACTAATAGTTATCAACAAATAATAGTGTGGCTGAATAAACAGATCTGATTCTCATGTACAGTACGTGTCTGACTCTGTAGTCAGTCTACTAAGAAAACTGAGGAGAGAACTGTAGCCATTACCTGTGGATTCATGGTGCTGAGAACATTCTGGAGAATCTGCATATCTTGCAGCTGGAACCCTGCCTTCAGTTCCTGTTCCAGAATGGTAGAAAGAGTCATATACTGAATATATCAGAACCTATACTGTACTATATCAGAATACCCTATATTAAATTGTTACCATAAAGGTGCATGTCAAAAATTCGAAGATGTAATTTAGAATACTCACTGGGGGTAAAGATTCTAGAACCTCTTTGGGATCCAGACGACAGCGTGCTGTACTGCTCTGGTGTTGTGTGTCGGAGAGTGTCGCTCCTTTGAACTTGACGGTGTACTCTTTTACTCTCTGCTTAAAGGCCTCTAGCTCAGTATAGAAGACGTTTAAGTACCCCTCTTGTCCTGCCTTACATGGGGAAAAAATGACAACGGTATTAGAGACTTACTTCCTTAATCATCCTCAGTTGACAAGAGGAACTTGGAATCATAACTATGATGTAAAAAGTGTTTTCTAAAATGGCTTATATTAAGAGTGTGTTATTCAGCTATAGATAAATGCTTACGGCTGAGAAAAGCAACAAATATTTTGGAATTAAACCATGCAGCCTCTTAAAATCATATAATTTACATTTTAGTCATTTAGCAGACGCTCTTATCCAGAGCGACGTAGTTAGTGAGTGCATACATTTTTTTCATATCAATATGTAAAAGACTGGCAACCATACAGAAATGCTTACAATGTTTTGACATGAAAGCAACAATGTTTTGGCATGAAAGCATGTATCTGTATATCATTGCCGTGTTGTAGGAGTCTGTCGTGACTCCTGTCTCTCTCTAGTGGTCATCTGACACATTACATCACTGTCTGTACACCTTCCTTCCTCCAGCAAACTATTTTTAGTGAATGACACGTTAGTTACATAACAACATTCAATAATAACAAAATCAGTCAAAATATTTGGACAAGTTTTATCATTAAATCACACATTAAAACATTTGATCACTCCTCAACCTAGCTTATCAATAACAACTGGTTATATGGTGGGTGAACTTAAATTAAAATTACAGATCCTTTGCTAGTCTTAAGATGCCTCAAATAGGATCCTGTTCACTTTATAGTGCACTACTTTTGACAAAAGCCCTACGTAAGCCCTTGGTCAAAAGTAGTGCACTATTATATAAGGAATAGGGATTGATTTCAGCCCATTCGTAGGGTGCCTGGTGTGGTATAATGACTTAACCGTGACTCAGCAGACAGACCAGGATAGCTCGATGCCTACTTTGGCTTTGTTGAAGAACTGACGGAAGCAGCCTCTGGGATCCTGCTGGGAGGTGCTGGCCATCTCCAGGATAAACTGCATAGCAACAGCCTGGTGAGCTACCTGCTCCATCAACGCCTCTTTCTGTGGTTGAATATATCAAAGTGGGGAAAAATGTGAATTCATCTGTATAAACACAAATCAAGTCTGTGTAGGCTATACTATAAGTAAATGTTTGTAAACATGAACTGTAAAACATATAGTCAGGAGAAAGGGAACAGGATAGAACCTCTAACATAGGTCACCCATAGTCATAACTATACAATTGCTCACTCAGAAATTGAATTAGTTAGAAAGATTGTGAAGGGGTAGGATCAGTCTGGCCTTTTCACAAGAGTTAGATCCGTCTGTCAGTAGTAATAGTTTATACATTAACCCTGAACAGGAAACATATGGCCGGCTGATATTGGCTTTTAGATAAAATATATAGTATCAAATACTAACAGCAAATACATTCACAGGACAGTGTGAGTGTGTGATTGTTCTGACCTCTTCAGCCTGAAGTCTGAAGCACCAGAGGATCAGATAGTTGGCCGTCTCCTCACAGATGAGGTGGTGCAGGTCAGACAGGAAGCGCTGGCTGTCATCCCACCTCCGCAACATGCCTGACCAATCACAATGGAGACACATTGGACCAATACCACATCCACCCTCAGCACCTACTATAGAGGGACATCATCAGCTATCACAATGCATGGATCTGCTGCATCATTCAATATTAAACCATGACAAGCGGTAGATTAAACCTGTCACTCACCGAAATGTCTCAATTCTTTTTCATACTTCTGAACAAAGGTTTTGCTCTTGTCGTGATCCTCCAATTCAACGTTTTTACTATTAATAATACTCTATAGGAGAAAGAGAGAAACACTGAGAAGGGGGTAGCGGCATCCCAATATTGTGACCGTAGTATGGGCGAGTGGGCGTGTCTAAAAGGTAAGGAGTGGGCGTGTCAAAGGTAAGGAGTGGGCGTGTCGAATGTAAGGAGTGGGCGTGTCAAAGGTAATGAGTGGGCGTGTCAACGGTACGGAGTGGGCGTGTCAACGGTACGGAGTGGGCGTGTCGAAAGGACTCTGCGAGAGTTTGGACTTCTGTTTTTAAGCCAGAGGATGAGTCCGTTGTATTTCACTGTTAGTTTTACATGTAATTGTACATTTTCAGTTATTCAACTGACAATTGTTTATTTTTTACTATAAGTATTGATGATGGGTATACTGTTGCGTCACGCGTTGTATGCATGTGCTTACTGTGGACTGTCACCCTAATATTTGCTACTACGTAGTTACTTCCCACCCTGTTGCCAGACAGTGCATGTCAAGCGGGAGTGAAGGGCACTGTGTCCCGGTGTTGCCATTCATGCCCTCCCCATTGAGTAGTAGACTATGTATCAAGGTGGCAATCAATATTAGTTATTCTTGTGTAGGCTGCTATCCTACTTGAAATATCATGCGAGAGAAAAAAACTAAAATGGCCACGTTAGCTACTGCCGGCGACATGACCGTGATACCCAGTAGGAAGCACGTCGATACAACACTGGTGCACTGGTCGCCGGCTTATCGACTCATCGTGCAGCCCAATCAGCCACGCAAAACGGTCTTGAGTGGCAATAAATCTGCCCAATTAGCTGATTCCCTTTCCATACACCCACTCCTTTCAACACACCCACTCGCCCATACTCTGGTCGGCATACTGGTCTGCAGCTACCCATACTTGATTAATTCCTTGCTTCCTCCTCCTCTGACCTTCTCATTCAATGTGTTTTGATAAAGAGGTGAGAAGAGCGCACACAAGGAATCAAGGAGATACATTTGAGATTGGCCCCCTTACCGTCTGGAGAAAGCTCAGAAGTGTACTGATTAGGTAGTTGGCTTATCAGGGACATTAACTTGGTTTACCTTGTTTCAATGGGAAAATATGAATTGCATTTCCTTGATTCTTCACATCCTCTCCTCCTTAAAACCCATTTGATCAGAAGGTCAGAGCGGAGGGATCATGGACCTTCTCATTCAAAGGAGTTTGAGAAGGAGGCGAGAAAACTTGAGGAATCAAGGAAATGCAATTGAGATTCTTCCAATGTGTGTGTGTGTAGGTCCCCTATCAGTCAGTCAACTTCGGTAAAACATTATGGGGAGTTGCATTCTTGCAACTTCGGTTGATGGATCTACAATCACACCTGACAAGGCCAATGAAATCCACGCCTCGCTGGGGGATTAATTCCTTAAATTATTCCGCTCTTCACCTTGGTGTGAACAGGAACGATTCACGCTACTAAAACAAAACAATTAGAACATGAGACCGGCTTACGTTGCGCCAACTAAACTGTCCCTTTGTGGTAGAGCGTGCTCACCCCCTGGCCATTGTGTGCTGAAGTTTGTATGGTTCTCATAAGTTTCCTAATCACAAATAATTAGTTATTATTAGAATTGCTTGGCCTGGCTAAAGCAATTAGTAAGATGGCTAACACGACCGAAAAGACGAAGACTAACAAGCCTGCTTCGGGTTCATGGATTAGGTTGTTGGTCGGGTCAAATGTTTCCGGGCTCCTGTGTGCTCTGTCGCTGGTTACGGGAGGCCACTCGAAAAGAGAGGGCGACCAGGTTCTGTGGTTATGTCCCCACCACCTGTGTGCCTTGGTTAAGCACCAATTGCCTCTTCCCAGAAGGGTCCAAAATAAAATCATGTGAGAGAAGAAAAAGAAAATGGCCACGTTAGCTACCACCGGCGACACTTCAAGTTGCCATGAAAATCGATACAACACCGGTGCACTCGTCGCCAGCTTATCGATTCGTGTCGCCTCGGTGATCCAGTCCTCCGTAGACTTGAGACCATGCTAGCTAACAAGCGAGGCGAGCTAACTACTACTAGCTATTCCTGCCTCCCCACGGTAGCTCCCTTGTTTAGTATACGTAGCATTTAGTCACTTGTTTATTCTAAATGGGCTGTGCTGCGGTCAGAGGATAACTAGCCTAGCTTAGACTAAATAGCCTCCTGGCTAAGTTCGGCTAGCTTGCATAACTTCCGGTGAATGAAGCTTACTAGCGTTCCCCCAGCAATTCATGGAGTTGGAGGGAGTAGAGAAAGCGGGGCTTCCTCCGTTGAGGAAGTAGCCCCTGGGCAGCTGGCTCAGATAACCGCGAAGCGAGGGGCCTTAGCACGGGTCTGAGCGACCAGTACGCCGCTCCACAAAAACATTACCGCGATAACAGAACTTTGGGGCACTGTTACAGCAAACTGGGAACTACGTCAACCATTGCCGGAGCCCTCTGTGCCCATTAAAGGGGTCCGTGTGTGCTGAAAGCTTGTCCATGTTTGATGCCCCGCGTTCCATGGTGTTCACGGGGTACATCAATCTCCTCAGTCTGGGAGTAATCATTTGGGCAATTCGCTCCCTGTCCACAAGGGGACACCCCTCCCCCATGGTTGCCTCATTACCGGGATTTATTGCATAATCTGTAGCTCACTAGTCCCTATGAGGTGTCTAGTGATACAGTTTATGGGCTCCATAGGCGATTGGTAGCGGAGTCTAGGGAACAAGCAGGGTTGGACACGACCATGCCATTATCCCACACACAGTCTCTGTGGTTAACATGAACCCCGAAATGAGCAGTATTTCTCCAGCTCAACGCTTTTAATTCCTGGGAATTAGATGAGATTATGAATCGCCCTTGTCTGTACCACAGAAGGGGTCCGTTTTTCAGAGCTGCCTGTCCCCTAGGTGACAAGGCGTTTTGTCCTTTTTTGTTGTTGTACTTTCTACCCCCTTTTCTCCTAAACTTCATGATATTCAATTGGTAGTTACAGTCTTGTCCCATCGCTGCAACTCCCGTACGGACTCGGGAGAGGCGAAGGTCGAGAGCCGAAACACGACCGCCAAGCCGCACTGCTTTTAGACACACTGCCCACTTAACCCGGAAGCCAGCTGCCCTAATGTGTCGGAGGAAACACCGTACAGCTGGTGACCGAAGTCAGCGTGCATGCGCCCGGCCGCCACAAGGACTCGCTAGAGCGCGATGGGACAAGAACATCCCAGCCGGCCAAACCCTCTCCTAACCCCGGACGACGCTGGGCCAATTGTGCGTCGCCTCATGGGTCTCCCGGTCGCGGACGGCTGCGACACAGCCCGGAATCGAACCCGGATCTGTAGTGACACCTCTAGTACTGCGATGCAGTGCCTTAGACCGCTGCGCCACTCGGGAGGCCCCCAATAAGGCACTTTGTCGCCAGTACCCATGACTGGTAGGTAGGGTAACCTCCATGATAACTTTTTTTAATGTATGCGATCCAGAGCTTTTTAATGTATGCAATCCAGGTCACCGGAATGCATCTTACCGCCTAAACCAAATGAGGCTCGTTCTGACAACAATACCCCCAAGTGGCACGGCCAATCGGGATACATCACTGATTGGCAGAACCAGTGTACCCAGAGTGGGCCAGGCTTTAGCCAAACCTTGACAGAATGTTTTTTTTCAACCGAGTTCCACAGTGTTCACAGGTGTTAAGTGTTGTCTCCCGTATGAGAGTTCGATGAAGTGCCCCTTCTCCACGTTCAGACACACAAGGGTGGAAATAACCAAATCTCTCTCCCAGTCTACAAGGTGGCATCCTTCACGGGAGGCTCGCTGTCTACTCCGACCGATGGCATGCATGCGCAATGTCGCCCTGGATCATGCGAACAGTGACGTCAGCGCACACGGTACAATTTGTTGTGAGTCCCCCACGCTTCTGCAGCGTTATCACCTCGGTTTTTCCCCAAGGCCTCAGCGCCTGTTTTGAGGGAGGAAATATCCTCCAGTCTCGAGAAGCAGGCAATCCAAGCGGTTCCTATGTCGAAGATCCAGGACGGCTGGTACAGCCGGCATTTCCTGGTTCCGAAAAGGGACGGGACTTCGCATCCCATTCTAGACCTACGTGCCCTCAACAAGCACCTCAGTCTACAAACTAAGAATGCTCAGGAGCCGCCGGCTATTACAGCCAATTGGCTGGTGGCAGCTGAGTCGAGGGGGCAAGCAGTACACACATTCATAATGCTGTCCCGTATTCGGTCTCTAGGCTTCATAAGAAACCAGAAAAATAGCTTTCTGACTCCATCGCAGCGCATTCCATTTCTGGGTGTCTAGCAAGACTCACTTCCGTATCGGGTGGTGTCCGGGTTACAGCTCTGCTCAGCCAAATTCCGGCTGGGCCTACGCCTACTGAGGGATGTTGGCTTCTGTGATGAGTCATTCCCCTGGAGCTATTGTTGATTGCTAGCAATTGACCTGGATGCATCTCGCAGCCTAAGCCGGTCGCGTCGGGTGTCCCTGTCAGGCCTACTGGCCATGGCCCAGTGGTGGGACCCTCTGCTATTGTCAGAGGGCTGAGTTGTATTCCGCAAGGTGATCACGACAGACTCACACAGTGACGTTGCATCCAAATGCGGCCTTCTCCACGAAAGTCATGGCTAAGTCCTACAGGTCCTTACCTTTTCAGCCATCTCCCTTTTCACCTCCTCCTTTTGCTTCTGAAGAGCAACAGAGGTTACATGCCGTGTCCGGTGCGAGCTTTACATATGTACATTGAAAGGACCCAGGATATCCGGTCATGTGGCAAGCTTTTCATCCGTCTTGCTAATCCAGCTCGAGGTAGGTCGCTCCCTAAGCAGCGTCTCTCCCACTGGATTGTGGAGGCCATCTCCCTGACATATTGCAGCAGGGGGCAAGGGTTACTTAGAGGTGTACTCGCCCACTCCACCAGGGGTCTGGTAGAGTCTTTGGCATTGTTTAAATGGTTGACTATAGGAGATATTTGTGCTAAGGCGAGTTGAGCATCACCACCCAGCTTTGTGAGGTTTTATCGCTTGGATGTCACTGCTCCCAGTGCAGCCCAAAGTCGGCTTACTGCTGGCACAAGGGAAAGTGACTAGGCGGCGCGCCGTATGCGCAACACCCAGACTTCCATATCTGGTGTGGTCAGGTCTGGGTGGTCTGCCATGGGCCGTTTTCATTTAGTATCCATTGGGGTTGGCTTGGGGCGTGATTATAGTGAGCTCCAAAAGTATTGGGACAGTGACAATTTGTGTTTTGGCTCTGTACTCCAGCACTTTGGATTTCAAATGATACCATGACTACTGATATTCCTGAATAATTGATGAGTGAGGAAGTTAGAGGCCCTCTGTAGCACAGTTGGTAGAGCATGGCGCTTGCAACGCCAGGGTTGTGGGTTCGATTCCCACGGGGGGCCAGTATGAAAATGTATGCACTCACTAACTGTAAGTCGCTCTGGATAAGAGCGTCTGCTAAATGACTAAAAATCTCAAATCTAAAAATATCATACCCCCCTAAAATGCTAACCTCCCCTGTTATTGTAATGGTGAGAGGTTAGCATGTCTTGAGTGTATGATATTTGTGAGTCTCTCACTCATTATTCATTCAGGATTATCCGTAATCACGGTAGCATCCACATTAATGTAGAAGTGTTTAGAAGTGACACAATACATTATTTACCATTCCTTTCCATTGGGCACAAAATAATTTCAACCACAACAAATCGTCACAAGCTTGATGTAATCATTGCTTGCTAGGAATAGGGGACCAACTTTTGACTACTTTAATACTAGGGCTGGGCAGTATACCGGTTTGGGTTTTTACTTTACCTTCTATAATTGTATTTTAATGTTTGGTTTGTTCAAATGTGATATGTTGTGTGCAACGTTCTCTCTCCCTCTCCCGCCCTGCCACTCAAGTAGCGCATTTGTTGTTGCTTGACCAGTTGGCCTACTTTGAAAAACATTGTAGCGGGTGAAAATGCAATTTCCTAAAAAATATATATATATATATATATATATATATATTTTCACTGTGACCTGATGCTGCTGACTATCAGGCAGTGATGCAGCCTGTTGCAGAGTGGAAATTTGAAATTAAAAAATGTGGAGAATGATACATTTGCATCTGTTGGCCATCGATTAGCCTATCAACTTCTATGCCTACTGTAGCCTACCATTTAATACAATAAATATGTTGAAATGACCATATCACTGGAAATCAAATTTTTGCCACTTGTGTAGCCAACCTGGAGCTGGCAAACAGATTTAATCAGTGGTGGGAACAGTAGGCTACCCATTAGTCATACTTGAGTAAAAGTTACGATACCTTAATAGAAAATTACTCAATTAAAAGTCACCAAGAAAAATATTACTTGAGTAAAAGTCTAAAGGTATTTGGTTTGAAATATACTAAAAGTATCAAAAGTAAATGTAATTGCTAAAACATAGTTAAGTATCAAAAGTATATATCATTTCAACCCAGACAGACCCATTTTATAGTTTGTATTTATTTACGGATAGCCAGGGGCTAACTCCAACACGCAGACATCATTTACAAATGAAGCATGTGTTTAGTGAGTCCACCAGATCAGAGGCAGTAGGGATGACCAGGGATGTTCTATTGATAAGTGCATGAATTGGACCATTTTCCTGTCCTGCTAAGCATTCAAAATGTAACGAATACTTTTGGGTGTCAGGGAAAATGTATGGAGTAAACAGACTTTTGGGGGGGAATGTAGTGAAGTAAAAGTTGTCAAAAATATAAATAGTAAAGTACAGATATCCCCCCCAAAAACTACTTTAGTACTTGTAAAGTACTTAAGTAAAAATACTTTAACCACTAGATTTATTAAATAGGCTATATTATAACTTCCATGTATTGTTGTTGTAGCCTTGTGTTATTATGCAATTATTAATGGCCAGGTGGCCAGGGTAGTGCGTACGGCCCAGTACATCACTGGGGCCAAGCTTCCTGCCATCCAGGACCTCTATACCAGGCGGTGTCAGAGGAAGGCCCTCAAAATTGTCAAAGACTCCAGCCACCCTAGTCAGACTGTTCTCTCTGCTACCGCACGGCAAGCGGTACCGGAGCGCCAAGTCTAGGTCCAAAAGACTTCTCAACAGCTTCTACCCCCAAGCCATAAGACTCCTGAACAGCTAATCATGGCTACCCGGACTATTTGCACTGCCCCCCCACCCCATCCTTTTTACGCTGCTGCTACTCTGTTAATTATTTATGCATAGTCACTTTAACTCTACCCACATGTACATATTACCTCAACTACCTCAACTAGCCGGTGCCCCCGCACATTGACTCTGCAACGGTACCCCCCTGTATATATAGCCTCCCTACTGTCACTTTATTCTATTGTATATATAGCCTCCCTACTGTCACTTTATTTTACTTCTGCTCTTTTTTTCTCAACACTTTTTTTGTTGTTTTATTTTTTTTGTTAAAAATAAATGCACTGTTGGTTAAGGGCTGTAAGTAAGCATTTCACTGTAATGTCTGCACCTGTTGTATTCGGTGCATGTGACCAATAAAATGTGATTTGATTTGAAATTGGAAGTTATCAATTGTGATCATGGTCACAGTTCTATCGCAACTACCGATCTGCTGTTTAATAGAATGCATTAGATTGAAGGTACCAGTCAGTCAGTCAGATTAGGCTTCAGGTAAAACCAGCTAACTCTGGCTGTTGTTGACAAGCATGGGCCTATTCAGTTCATATTATTAATATTTGATTCAGTGATTGAAATTACGACTCCATCCTCAGTAGCCTATTCCAGCAGGCTTTTGGGCAACAGAAGCACTTCTTACCTCGAAATCACCTTGCTATTCATGTTGAATAAATGTGTCTGTCAATTTGAACTAAGCAAGCTGCTAAATCGTTCATCTTACATCTTGCCTAGGCTACTGAAATGAGACGTAGTCCTATCAGGGGCTATAAGCTACCTGCATCTAGCTAAACAAACCATGGCAAAGTTGAATTACAATCAAACCCAGATTTTAGCCAGTAGGCCTAGCCTATACCTGTTGAAATGACAAGTCAATCTCGTAAATAGGCCATTTATAACGGTTTGTAGTCTTAACATCTGGCACAATTGCCAGAAAATAGCCTAACATAGTTTTTTGAAGTTTAATAAGGGCGAATCATCTTCTCTTCCGACATCAAATTCCTTTTAGTCCACAGTAATTATTATTTTGATGGAAAAACTAAAATTTTGCTTCTTAGGTCGTTAGAAGTTCAGTCAATATTCCTTAATTCACTCGATAATGTTATTGAAAAAGGGTTTATTGGCTAAATGTGGCAAATCCTCTCTTGCTGCGAAAAAAAACTCATTGGGCTAGTTTTCAGGCCTTGTGTGCTGGTTTTGAGTAGTCATTGAGCTAGAAACGTTTACCTGGCAACCCTGACCACGAGACACTTGCGTTCAGTCTGCATGGTCAATGCAGCACATGTAACAATGTTGATGACAATGATGTTTTCCACTTTTCTTCTTAATATAAACCCACAAGCATTATATAATTACACTATTTATTTGTGTTTATTATATCTGCAAACAGCTAGTTTGTATTTTCTTAGCAAGTTTTAGCTAAATCGTGTTAGCAGCTAATAAAAATGTACTGTGTTAGCGCAAATGAAGCTAGCTAATACAGCCTGATACCAGTGATGGCGTAGGCCTAAAATCAGCATGTTGTTTGTGTTACAGTATCTTCTAAATCAAAGAGGAATAGGCGAAGCATGAATATGTTGGCTACATTAAGAAACATTTAAGGTAGCCAAAGATTATAGGGTTCCCTAGGAAACACTGACCAACACTTTGGACCCTACCCTGTCACAACTCCTCCCTGGCAATTTCGTTCGTTGTCATGTCAAACACTGTATTCAAAGTGCCCAATATTATTTCATCTTCTAACTATAGAATTAGAATAAAATTATATTTCCATGATTCCAACATCCAAGTGTTTTGATCTAAATCGCAAGTCAAATCACAATTGCTACATTTGGTTAAAAATAAGGCCAAGTTTTTTTGCCCATATCTTGCAGACCTTCGTGGCAGTGTGGAAATTCTCAAATGAGTCCAGGAAATGCAGAAATTGATGGAAATGCAGGTAATTATTTTAGTTTTATACTCTTCAATTCAACTACAACCAATCAGAATGGAGAAAGACCCACTGAAATCACTTCGAATGTATGTGTTGCCACCCTAGGGTCACGCACTACTCATAAAGCTAATGTATAACTTTTAATATTCAAAAACATCAAATACCGTCAAAAGTGAAAAATACCGTGATATGATATTTTAGCCATATCACGCAGCCCTATTTAATACACATAAGTGAATTTGCCCAAATACTTTTAGTCCCCTAAAATGGGGGGACTATGTACAAAAAGTGCTGTAATTTCTAAACGGTTCACCTGATATGGATGAAAATACCCTCAAATTAAAGCTGCACTTTAACCTCAGTCATTGTAACATTTCAAATCCAAAGCGCTGGAGTACAGAGCCAAAACAGCCGAATTGTCACTGTCCCAATACTTTTGGAGCTCACTGTTGACTGACTGAAAGGAAGCGTAACGTTATGACTATAACTACTGTTCCCTGAAGGAGGGAAACGATTCCCAACACCTATTTGGCCCTGTGCCGCCCCTTCCTGGGCTCTGTGAAGAGAGGTATTACATTGAAATAATTAATCAGAGCCTCACGCTTATCACCTATGGTAGGCGGGGCTTCCAGCGAGGTGTGGATTTCATTGGCCTTGTCAGGCGTGAATTGTAGATCCTGCAACAGAAGTCGCAAGTGTGCAACTCCCCATAGTATGTTGTACCTTGTTTCCCTCCTTCAGGGAACAGTAGTTATAGTCATAACGTTACATTTTCTAAGGCCGTGTCTAGACTTGACAGTTCATGCAGCTTTAGTATTCTGATCATAGAGTTCTGATAATGGAATTCCGAACGTGTCATGCATCTACACCTACATTTAAATGTGTCCACAGTGTGTCCGGATTCCCTTTTGCCGGCCTATATTCAAATGCCAGTATGCATTCTACAAACGGTGAAATAGGCAGTAGCTAACTACTGTAGCTAACTAGCCAGCTAACCTCTGGAGCTAGCTAGCAACCAACGCTAAAGGGATTGAAAACAGGTTAGCATAACTCTAGCCAAACAAAAAAATAGTTTTTCTAAATATTAGCTAGCATTTATGAGGCCAGCAAACACGTTTCTCACACGCTAGGAACGCATTTCCTTCTACGTTATAATGAAAAGGTGCCGCTCAGTCCCAAAACACACATTTTCTGGAGACTTGTGGGAGGAGTGTTGATGACGTCGTCCACTGTATGTGCTTTCGGTAGCCTGATTGTGTCCAGACTGAGGAGAAATCCACACACAATGCATCCCTGACCACCTCTTGAAGTGGTCAGCCAGATCTGAACACTATCAGACCACAAAGCGACTTTTGTACATCTAGATCCGTCTTTTCAATGCGATCTTCGCATTCTGATAGCAGAAGTCGCAGGTAAGTGTCAAGTGTAGACACGACCTTAGTTACCTTGTCAAACATGTCCCGGCTGCTGTCAGAGCTGAGCACGGGGCTCCTGCTGCCTCCCAGCATGCTCTCCTTCCGGCGCCACTCCTGTTCAGTCTGCGAGAGCTCTGATTGGCTGGCGACAGCGCGGGCGCGCTCCTGCTCTGCGCTCTCGGAGCCGTGCAGCTCCAGCCCACACAGCTGGTCCTGAGCCTCCATCAGCTGCCATCTGGAGACGATGGAGGCCTTCACACACTGCTGCTGGCTCTGGCACAGGGACGCCATGGACTCTGCACCGGCAACCTCCTGGAAGAAGAAGATAATTAACTTATTAAGAACAACTGATATCCTAATATCTTTGTAAGGAGGCCCTCACACATTGCTGCTGGCTCTGGCACAGGGACGCTGCAGCAGCACCATGGGGTCACAGAACAGAGGGGAGAAGAGGTTATAAACTACTGATATCTAAGTATATTTATATTACATTCTGCTGCCGTCTCTGGCACAGGAACCCCATGCTCTCTACACCTCCATGGTCACAGAGGAGGAGAAGACAGTAACTTATTACGACTGATATCTGAAAAAAATGTCTTACGTTACATTCTGCTGCAGAATATTACATCTACAATAATCAGGGCCAGTATTCCTAAAGCCTCTCATTATCCTCCCGCTCCTCCTGATGACGATGCATTGCAGTAACTCTGTTTTGGCTAACTGTGTGCAATAGTTATACATGGTCATGTAAAAACTCAGGTTGCAAGCTAATAATAACAACATGAACACCACCCACTAGCTTCAGCTGTCAACTCAATACCGCATTAACAGATATAACTATCAGGGAATAGAGAGATGACAGCATATACTAGTTATGGGGGCTTATCTTATCCACAGTAGTTGGGAAAGCTAAGTACGGAGCAAGCCGTTACTGCTTGACAGGCTAAAGCAGCATTACAGCAAGTACTACTGAGAAACACATTTGGTGTAGCTAGTTAGTGCCCTATTCCCCAATTTACTGTGTAATACCGGTAAACCCATTGTAAATTAGCCAGTGACACTCACTTGGTGGGGTAAGGAGGACTGGCGAAAACTCGCTGATGTCAAACCTGGCAATTACAGTGTCTACAGCCGGTTGTTCTGCTGAGGACCATGAAAAATGACCTGACAAGCTAGCTAGCTAAATCGTGTTGAGTTTAATCGGCTAGCTACTGTAACGTTAGTGTATGTTCAGTTATTAAACGTCGTTAGCTAAGTAAAGTTACAGATGAAGGAATCGGACTCAATAGCTCAGACTCGTTTCCATTGTTGACATTATGTAATGAGCTTGACTTGTTAGCTAGCTAACCAATGACATACTGACTGTAGCTATTATTAGAGATCTAACATCGCGTAAGGGTTTGTCGAATAACTAGTAGCAGGCTAAATAACATGGGAGATGGCCGGTTGGCTTGCTTTTATTCCTCGATGACTGACGTAGCTACCAAGCTAGCTAGCTTACCAGTCAAGAAAATAAGCAATTGGTAAATGTACATTGGCATTTAGCCCCACAATACCTTCAGTGAGGAGCTGTGAAAGCTACTTGGCACAGGAGAGGCAGAGGCACTGCAGCCCTCTTCTTCTTCGGGAAACATGGGGGAGTTTCCAGTCCCGAACCACTCCATCGCTGCTGCTCCGGCTCGAGCAGCCCAAAACGCCGAGTTCTGGAATCTGTCACTTGGGAAAATAGTTAAATGGCCTAAGCTCTTCTCAAGAAAGGCAATGCGCTAGCAAAGGTGATATTTGGCTCCGAGCACAAAAATACAGCAGCCTCTTTTAGCCATAACAACTTCAGCCTCCATGCTTTTATACAAGTACCACGTGGCGTTGAACTTTGATCACGTGGTAAATCTGTTTCGGTGTTTTTATTTGTATTGATGACCAAGATGACTATACATATTGTAATATAGAGAACGTTTCAGAATAGAAATAGCCGTGCATTACTGTACTTAAAATAAGTGAAATCGCCGCAAGATTATTTTATTAAGTGGAGGAAACTTTTACCTGTTTTCAAATATCTGTGTAAGTATAAAATTGCATCAAGGTAAAAAATACCAGGCAGCCATTTCCATCACTATACTATTTTATTATATTATATTCTGTTCAGTTCTTTTCTTTTCTGTTATTTTCTAAAACTCGCGAGCCATAGACGAGAACGATAACTTGGCAGTGTCCATTCCCTTATCGTTTCGATTTCATGTCATTTCCTTGCTAGTGCTAGAAGCAAGTTATAACGTAAGTCTATTTTTCACCTTCAAAACATTGTAAGATAACATGTATTTGACTCATGTGGTTAATTCGGTTAACATTCAAGCCATGTAAAAACATGTCACAATGACATAGAGTTTACATATTTTTAGCTAGAAAACATTCACACGTGAGATAAATGCTTTAAAATGCTAGCAAGCTACCTTGCTAATTTGTGACCAGCTGGGTGGGCCAGCTAGCTAGCTAGACATGGGGACGTGGGTTAGCTAGCTACTACAAACAACCCACCAAGCATAATTTGTCACACCTCGCACCGCTGTGGGCTAGTTGTCAAATTAGTGAACATAACAGGATGTTACAACAGAGAGGATTCTCTTTGGGTACAAGTTGTGTATTTCCCTCATCTAGTAGGAGCCGCCTAGCAGAGGGTTTCCCACCATGCTGTACTGTTCAATAGTCGCCAGTAGGTGGCAGCGGAGTAGCTACTGCTGTAAGAGTGAGTTGTGAGAGCCAAGAACCTACGACGGGGAGAGAAACAGTCCAGACTTCAGATCTAAAAAACATCCTCAGCCTCAAAAGCATGTCTCACAGCCAGCTGGCAGCATGCCCTTTCTAGGTCTGCTGTTCCTACAGGGTGTGTGCTGTGCTGTGCTGTGCTGTGCGTGTTTATTTTATTTAACCTTTATTTAACTAGGCAAGTCAGTTAAGAACAAATTATTATTTACAATGACGGCCTACATTGTAAATGTGTGTGTGCGTGCGCGCGGGCACACTTGAAAGAGAGGGAGAGTTAGACCTTCGGGTTTCAGCTCTGGTTCATAACTTGCTCAAGAGTGAAATTGTGAATGTAAGACATGGGTCTTCAACCTCTTCTTGCGCAGGGACCCCCTCCCAGGCAAAATGGCGACCCAGGGACCCTCATCATACCTTAGCAAACATTTTTTTCTCCAAATGTCTTGTCTTATCATCAGGTGAATGATAATAGCAAGGAGAAGTAATCAACATTTGAAAATGAATAGTTTAATTATTTCCCCTCCCCACAGTCTTTTATATATATATATATATTTTAAAACCTTTATTTAACTAGGCAAGTCATTTAAGAACAAATTATTAATTACAATGACGGCCCACCAAAAGGCCTCCTGCGGGGACGGGGCTGGGTTTAAAAAATATATAAATTATATAGGACAAAACACACATCACGACAAGAAGAGGAAATGTAAACTCTAACATAGCCTATTAGCTAGAAAGATAACTCCAAACACATTTTCACTAAGAGCAGCTGTTTAGCTGGTTAAACAAAGGTTAGCCATGTGTTGGCAAAAATGTATGTCCAAGTCAAGAATGCTAACCAGCAGCCAGCGGCACATGCTGCACTGGTAGCCTATTAGCAGGTGCTTTTTCAAAGCCTATGTCAGATACTCCAGTAAGTGTAATTGACTCCAATGAGTGTAATTTGCTCAATATTAGGAGTTGAGAAATAAAGTTGACATCATTAGAAATAAGATATTCTCCTCTTTTCCTAATGTAGGTGGTATGTCATTCAAAATGTGTTTATTCTGTTGTTGCTAGAGATATTCATGAAAACATTGAGAGATAAAAACGTGTGGACCCCTTGGAGTACCTTGGACCCTCGGTTGAATACCCCTGATGTAAGATAAGGGTTTTCAAGTTAATACAAGTTTGGGGTTTTAATAGTGATGGAGGAAAAAATTGATAGTCACATATCGGGATATTATTTTTAACAAAATCGCAATATTATTTTTGCGCTAGTCAGCTGTACCTGCACCAAAACTCAGTTTTTATCCTTCATACCTTGTTCTCCATCTTCTTCTTAAATAGGGAGCCAATTTGTTTTCAGCACTTTTATTTCCCTGACTGATCAAAACTTGTTTTTCTCATGGCTCTCTCTTGTCTCTCTGCAGCAGACATATGGTGAGCAATATGTTTTGAACATGGATCGCAATAAAATCGCAGTATCGAATCGCAATACATATAGAATCGTGAGAATCTCAATACATATCATATCGGTACCTACGTATTGTGATAACATCGTATCGTGAGGTCCCTGTTAATTCCCAGCCCTAGTTTTTAAGAGCCTTTCAGTATTTTAAAGACCCTTTTTTATACAAAGCCATTTGAATTAGGGCTGGGAATTTCCAGGGACCTCACAATACGATATTATCACAATACTTTGGTTGCCGATACCATATGTTTTGCGATTTCTTTATGTATTGCGATTCGATACTGTGATTTTATTGCGGCTCGTTGTTCCAAACATATTGCTCACCATAAGTTTTTATCAGTCATGGAAATAAGTGCTGAAAACAAATTGTCTCCCTATTTAAAAAGAAGATGGAGAACAAGCTATGAAGGAAAAATACTGGAGTTTTGGTGCAGCTACAGCCAACTAACGCAAAAATAATATTGCGATATTGTCAAAACGATACGATATATCATCAAATATAATATCCCGATATGTAACTATTTTTTCCCCCATCACTATATGAATGCAGCTTGTGAGAGGTTCTGGTATTAGGGTAGCAACTATGCCATTTAATTGAATAAAACAATCAGAAATGATTTGATCAGACACAGAAAGAAAAGAAAGCTGAATTTCTAATGTGGATGAAAGTGTTACGGTTTGAGTTTGGGATGCATAACTGAACTTTAGTAAATAACTAATTAAATGTCCCCAGTCAGGAAGTGTCTACGCGCTAAATGGCATATTATTATTATTATTATTATTCTAACTCCAATTTGGCGTCTCTCCCCCCACTACTGTCTCCCCCTCCCTCACTTTGTCTCCCCTCCTCCCCCCTAGGAACGTAAGACCCCTCAGACTTACGACGCAGCGCCACCCACTGGAGAGGAATGAGCCAGGCTACGCAACCATTGGGTCAGTAGTTAAGCCAAACAAACACCTGTCTGGGACCTACACACACGCATCAGGCCAGACACCAAGCTCAAATACACAAACACACATGTTGTAATATGTTTTTGCCTCTGTCGGAAAGACAGGAAGGATAGTCCCGGCAGGTGTAAAGGTATACAAGTTGAACGACACACAAACAAACTCTCCCAGGTGGAGTGCTCCTCCATATACAGCTCGGAGTCCCAGCTTACCTATCACTCAGCAGCTCACCCATACAATTGAGAAGCTACATGTTCCACATTCCTGAACCCCCCCCCCCCCCCTCTTTTTTTCAGTGGAACTGGGTTGGGGGTTGGGGATAACCTCTAAAGTAGGGAGAATAGCAACGGAGAGGGAGGAAGAGATGTATACGATTTCTATGAAGTGTGCAGTGTTCTTCCGCCATACGTTGTGTTGTGCTTTGCTTTGGGGAGTCTGAAAAGTGTCCGATCCATGAGGACCTGAAAATAAAAGTGTGGGAAGGGAGAGAGAGAGAGAGCGAAGCCCTTTGGTCTGCTTTCCCAGGCTGTCCGTCAGGAAGGCTGGATTTTTTTTACACCGTGACCACCGCGTTGCCCTTTCCTGGGGAAATCCGAGACAAACAGAAAGCAGTGGGGGGAGGGGAACAGGAACACTGGGCCTGGGAAGGAGAGGAGGGGGGGGGGGCGCGAGGCAGGAACTTTTGGGAATGCTTAGGAACATACCCAGTCTACACCTCCCCTTTTGTTACCAGGCCTTTTTAAACCCCAGCCCTCCAGAAATGTGCCCTGTCCTCTCAGTTCTCAGTGGGTGTTATGGCTTTAAATCAAACCAAAAGCAAAGCAGAACTCCTCCAAAACTCGGTCAGTAGCCCTAAACAACTGCTGTTAATACTATCCTATCCCACTCCTTTTGAGTTAATGATAACCCAGTTATTCTTAAAGTGGAACTGACAGCATTTTAACTAGTTTGCAGTCGTCCTCACGGTGACCGTACGTACATATCCCAACCAGAAGCCATAGATTACAGGCAACATCCGCACCGAGCTAAAGGCTAGAGCTGCCGCTTTCAAGGACCGGGACACTAATCCGGATGCTTATAAGAAATCTCGCTATGCCCTCACACAAATCTTCAAACAGGCAAAGCATCAATTCAAGACTAAGATTGAATCCTACTACACTGGCTCTGACGCTCGTCGGATGTGGCAGGGCTTGCACATTTTTACGGACTACGAAGGGAAACCCAGCCGCGAGCTGCCCAGTGACGCAAGCCTACCAGATGGGCTAAATGCCTTTTATGCTTGCTTCGAGGCAAGAAACACTGAAGCATGCATGAGAGCACCAGCTGTTCCGGATGACTTTGTGATCACGCTCTCCGTAGCCGATGTGAGCAAGACATTTAAACAGGTCAACATTCATGTACACATTTGTGTACTCAAAGCATGCACTTGCCAGTTGCGCGGACCAACTGGCAAGTGTCTTCACTGACATTTTCGAACTCTCCCTGACCGAGTCTGTAATACCTACATGTTTCAAGCAGACCACCATAGTCCCTGTGCCCAAGAAAGCGAAGGTAACCTGCCTAAATGACTACCGCCCCATACCACTCACGTCGGTAACCATGAAGTGCTTTGAAAGGCTGGTCATATCAACACCGTCATCCCGGAAACCCTAGACCCACTCCAATTCGCATACCGCCCCAACAGATCCACAGATATCTCAATCTCACGTCACACTGCCCTTTCCCACCTGGACAAAAGGAACACCTATGTGAGAATGCTGTTCATTGACTACAGCTCAGTGTTCAACACTGTAGTGCCCACAAAGCTCATCACTAAGCTAAGGACCCTGGGACTAAACACCTCCCTCTGCAACTGGATCCTGGACTTCCTGACGAGCCGCCCCCAGGTGGTAAGGGTAGGCAACAACACATCTACCACGTTGATCCTCAACACGGGGGCCCCTCAGGGGTGCGTGCTTAGTCCCCTTCTGTACTCCCTGTTCACCCACGACTGCGTGGCCAAGCACGACTCCAACACCATCATTAAGTTTGCTGATGACACAACAGTGGTAGGCCTGATCACCGACAACGATGAGACCGCCTATAGGGAGGAGGTCAGAGACCTGGAAGTGTGGTGCAAGGACAACAACCTCTCCCTCAACGTGAGCAAGACAAAGGAGATGATTGTGGACTACAGGAAAAGGACATGCCCCCATTCACATTGATGGGGCTGTAGGGGAGAGGTTGAGAGTTTCAAGTTGCTTGGTGTCCACATCACCAACAAACTATCATGGTCCAAACACACCAAGACAGTCGTGAAGTGGGCACAACAAAGCATATTCCCCCTCAGGAGACTGAAAATATTTGGCATGTGTCCCCAGATCATCAAAAAGTTATACAGCTGCACCATCGAGATCATCCTGACCGATTGCATCACCGCCTGGTATGGCAACTGCTCTGCATCCGACCTTAAGGTGCTACAGAGGGTAGTGCGTACGGCCCAGTACATCACTGGGGCCAAGTTTCCTGCCATCCAGGACCCACACTACCAGTCAAAAGTTTGGACACACCTACTCATTCAAGGGTTTTTCAAAATATATTTATATTTGAGATTCTTCAAATGGCCACCCTTTGCCTTGATGACAGCTTTTGCACACTCTTGGCATTCTCTCAACCAGCTTCATGAGATAGGAATGCATTTCAATTAACAGGTGTGGCTTGTTAATTTGTGGAATTTCTTTCCTTCTTAATGTGTTTGAGACTAATCAGTTGTGTCGTGACAAGGTAGGGGGGTTTACAGAAGATAACCCTATTTGGTAAAAGACCAAGTCCATATTATGGCATGAACAGCTCAAATAAGCAAAGAGAAACAACAGTCCATCATTACTTTAAGACATAATGGTCAGTCAATACGGAACATTTCAAGAACTTTCTTCAAGTGCAGTCGCAAAAACCATCAAGGCTATGATGAAACTGGCTCTCATGAGGACCGCCACAGGAATGGAAGACCCAGAGTTACCTCTGATACCTCTGTTCCAACTGCCGTGGCTTTGTGAGATGCCGTGTGGGTGAATGGATGATCTCTGCATGTGTATTTCCCATAGTAAAGCATGGAGGAGGAGGTGTTATGGTGTGGGGGTGCTTTGCTGGTGACACTATGTCATTTATGTTAGAATTCAAGGCACACTTAACCAGCATGGCTACCACAGCATTCTGCAGTGATACGCCATCCCATCTGGTTTGGGCTTAGTGGGACTATAATTTGTTTTTCAACAGGACAATGACCCAACACACCTCCAGGCTGTGTAAGGGCTATTTTACCAAGAAGGAGAGTGATGGAGTGCTGCATCAGATGACCTGGCCTCCACAATCCCCCGACCTCAACCCAATTGAGATGGTTTGGGATGAGTCGGACCGCAGAGTGAAGGAAAAGCAGCCAACAATGTGGGAGCTCAGCATATGTGGGAACGCCTTCAATACTGTTGGAAAAGCATTCAAGGTGAAGCCAGTTGAGAGAATGCCAAGAGTGTGCAAAGCTGTCATCAAGGCAAAGGGGTGGCTATTTGAATAATCTCAAATCTCAAATATATTTTGATTTGTTTAACACTTTTTTGGTTACTACATGATTCCATATGTGTTATTTCATAGTTTTGATGTCTTCACTATTATTCTACAATGTAAAAATAAAGAAAAACCCTTGAATGAGTAGGTGTGTCCAAACTGTTGACTGGTACTGTATATACTAGGCAGTGTTAGAGGAAGGCCCAAAAAATTGTCAAAGACTCCAGTCACCCAAGTCATAGACTGTTCTCTCTGCTACCGCACGGCAAGCGGTACCGGAGCGCCAAGTCTAGGTCCAAAAGGCTCCTTAAAAGCTTCTACCCCCAAGCAATAAGACTGCTGAACAATTAATAAAATGTTCACCCGGACTATTTGCATTGACCCTCCCCCCCCCCCCCTTTGTTTTTACACTGCTGCTACTCGCTGTTTATTATCTATGCATAGTCACTTTACCGCTACCTACATGTACAAATTACCTCGACTAACCTGTAACCCCGCACATTGACTCGATACCGTACTTTAGTTCATTTAGTAAATATTTTCTTAACTCTAATTTATTAAAACTACATTGTTGGTTAAGGGCTTGTAAGTAAGCATTTCACGGTAAGGTCTACACCTGTTGTATTCGGCACGTGACTAATAACATTTAATTTAATGTATTTGAAACTGACAATCATATCAGTTAAAAACATCAAATTCCCAGTTTATGCAATAAAACCAACTTTATTAGAGGTTTTAAAAATAGGTTATATTTGAATAAACATTACTTGATGTACACTAACGCATTGTTATCAGAATAGATGGCTGCAGTTCAATGCATGATTCATATAATTCACCAATACATTTCTTGGTAGTCCAAAGAATATTGCTATCAAGTTGTAAGTCACAGGTGGCGTGGTACATTGTTTGCTGCCTCCATTCGGGATGCACTGTTTCAGTTTCAATGACTCAATATTTTTGGATAAAAACAGATGTATATACAATCAAACTAGCAAGGACAATGATCACAAGTCAGTCATAACGTGGCTAATAGGCTAGCGTATCTATTTAGGTAGCAAGCTAAAAACACGGAGCCTAACGTTAGCTAGCTAGCTGCTAGGAGGATGTCATGTCATGTCATTGGAGGAGTGGGTGAGTGACTTTTTCCCCTCATCGTTGTTTTCGGTGGCTATACACAGCTAGAGATGCAGGTGTAATTTGGTTAGCTAGCAAGAACTTGAACGACATATCTCGTGCATTCGCAAATTCACTCTGACTATCTACTCTGATTTCAGAGCACTCTCGTCTGTGTGCCAGAGCACAGAATAGCTGATGAATTTACGAACGCGCAACACCCGCTGAATATGACCGGTGTCAGTAAACGTAGGCAAAGAAAGTAATAGTTAGACACGAACGCTCTAGATAACATGTAAACAGCCTAGCTAACCAGCTCTGCTAGGGTGAGTAAAATGGTCAGAGTGAGGTGTTCTCTCATTTGTGTCTGAAAGTAGCTAGCTAGCAAGCTAGTCAACTTTAGCTTGGGTGCTTGATTGGGATAAGCATGCATTGGCAGGCAAGCTGAAAAAGGACGAGTAGGCTACAATTCCCCATGGTTTTATCAGTGCAATTTTGACAGCCAATTAGCTGAAAAAGTTTGAGAGGGTTTATCTAATATTCCTTTGTTAGATTTTTGCTTATCTCGCTCTGGATAGCATTAGTTGCTCTGGCAAGCATTAGAGAGAGCCTACCTTTTCATGGTTGTTTGATCAATAGGACTGTAAAGTTCCCAAATGTAAGAGGACTCCCGTGGTATTGACATATTTGCAGAAATCTATTCAGGTGTATTTTGTGGCTTTTGGCGAATACGTTCTAATGATCTAAAGTCGCGCTGTTGCAACTGCCTGTAAACACACAGTCCAGTTAAAAGTGAATGATGGCAGGCCTGTGTGGCAAAATGGCTTGTTTGCATGAAAGCCTACCGTAGCTCTGATTGGCTGTGGGGCGCACCGGTCTGCGTCGACTCCGGTCCTGGACGAGACAGATGTTTTTAATAGGTTTTATTTACTGCAGTGTCTATTAATTGTCCAAATGCACGGCTGCCTTCCCACTCTACATTGTTATAGAATGTTCACAAAGGCCTTACTGTACGTCCTTCCCAAACATTCTAAGAATTTATGAAAATGACCATATCTAAGTGCTCGCTTGTCAGATTTTTTTTTTGAAGTGTCATATTCTTCCTGGGGGGTGTATATGAACAGATTTTAATAAGATGTCATGTTGCTAAAATTCTGTCAGTTCCACTTTAAGTAGCAGTGATATAAACATTAAGGCATAGTGACACATAGTGACGGAGTGGTTAGTGTAGCAATAGGCTAACGTCAAAAAGGACAAGTGCTAATGTGTGTGTGATTTGTTCAGTTTGCCATGCTTCAGGATTCGGGAAGTTAGGCATATCTAGTGTGAGTGAAACATGGAGAGAAAGGGAAAGTATGAAAGTGGGTGGGCTGCTCCAATGGGTTGGGTGAAGGGTTAGGCTGGTAACCCCTATGCCAATGACAGGTTGGAGTGAGAGGTCAGTGTGTAACCCCATATCACCTGTGTGACCTCCAGGTGCTGACCCCACGGCGCTGAGAGAACAACTCTTTGACTTCTGGACCAGGAAAGAGCTAGAGGCGGTGAGACAGAAAGCTGCATTTACAGTGTGTCTGTCATCAACTTCACAGTCAGGTCGTGTGTGTGAGAGAGAGAGAGAGCGTGTGTGTGTGTGTGAGAAAAAAGCTTGACGGAATGAATGAGCGAGCAGTGTAATGTCATGTCACATGCCAGGTCTAAACTGGAGATATCTATGAGAATATTGAGCGAATGACTGTGTGTCTGAAATATTGTGCAAAAGATCAAGCCTCAAGATTACAATCTCTCAAACAGACATGCATTGTTTGTAGATATTGACTAACTGAGGCACAAAAAAATTGTGAGATGTTGAATGAGAAAGGGGAAGTGTGTGACGGTGAGCGCGAAGTACTGTGAGTACTAAATTCTATCTAAACAAAATTAAAGATTCAATATTTTATTGCCATGCCAAACAAAGTGTTAGGCAATTGACAGCTTATGTGTAACTTGGAGATGGGAGATTTGAGCAAAAAAGTTAATATGCACAGATGTTAGGATTCAGCCCAGATGGAGAGAGTGTATCTAATCCCCCCCATCTCCTCCCCTGTCCTCTCAGCTGCGAGCTGTAGCCTTCAAGGGCTTTTCAGACTTCCAGACACCCCTAGAGGACCTGCTGGGTGTCCTGGAGGGCTGTCCAGGCAGGCAGAAGGGGAAGGCTACCACCATGGGTCACAGCATCCTCATGGAGTTTGAGCGCTGGAGACGCACCCACCCCAAGGTCAGTCCCAGTAAAGGAAAAACACATGCTCAACTCTACTGAAGATCCTCTTCTGTAAACAAGTAAAAAGGGTGCTAGGAACCAAAAATCAATCACATAAAATAAAAAGGCCAGCACTTTATTTCACTTGAATATGATTTGCACACACCACACACTGTCACACACACTGAGGAAGGTGCAAGCCGAAATGTACAGTGCATTCGAAAAGTATTCAGACTGTTCCTTTACTTTTTCCTTTATTTTTTTCCACATTTTGTTACGTTACAGCCATATTCTAAGTTGGATTCAATTGTTTGCACATTTATAAAAATATAAAAACGGAAATACCACATTTACATATAGTACCATTCAGTAGTTTGGACACACCTACTCATTCCAGGGTTTTTCTTTATTTTTACTATTTTATACATTGTAGAATAATAGTGAAGACATCAAAACAATGAAATAACACATATGGAATCATGTAGTAACCAAAAAAGTGTTAAACAAATAAAAATATATTTTAGAATTTAGATTCTTCAAAGTAGCCACCCTTTGCCTTGATGACAGCTTTGCACACTCTTGGCATTCTCTCAACCCGCTTCATGAGGTAGTCACCTGGAATGCATTTCAATTAACAGGTGTGCCTTGTTAAAAGTTATTTTGTGGAATTGCTTTCCTTAATGCGTTTGAGCCTATCAGTTGTGTTGTGACAAGGTAAGGGTGGTATACAGAAGATAACCCTATTTGGTAAAAGACCAAGTCCATATTATGGCAAGAACAGCTCAAATAAGCAAAGAGAAACGACAGTCCATCATTACTTTAAGACATGAAGGTCAGTCAATCCGGAAAATCTCAATAACTTTTAAAGTTTCTTCAAGTGCAGTCACAAAAACCATCAAGGCTATGATGAAACTGGCTCTCATGAGGACCGCCACAGGAATGGAAGACCAAGTGTTATCTCTGCTGCAGAGGACAAATTCATTAGATTTAACTGCACCTCAGATGGCAGCCCAAATAAATGCTTCACAGAGTTCAAGTAACCGACACATCTCAACATCAACTGTTCAGAGGAGACTGCATGAATCAGGGCTTCATGGTCGAATTGCTGCAAAGAAACCACTACTAAAGGACAACAATAAGAAGAAGAGACTTGCTTGGGCCAAGAAACACGAGCAATGGATATTAGACCGGTGGAAATCTGTCCTTTGGTCTGATGAGTCCAATTTAGAGATTTTTGGTTTCCCACTGCCGTGTCTTTGTGAGACGCAGAGTAGGTGAACGGATGATCTCTGCAAGTGTGGTTCCCACCATGAAGCATGGAGGAGGAGGTGTTATGGTGTGGGGGTGCGTTGCTGGTGACACTGACAGTGATTTATTTAGAATTCAAGGCACACTTAACCAGCATGGCTACCATAGCATTCTGCAGTGATACGCCATCCCATCTGGTTTGGGCTTAGTGGGACTATCATTTGTTTTTCAACCTCCAGGCTGTGTAAGGGCTATTTTACCAAGAAGGAGAGTGATGGAGTGCTGCATCAGATGACCTGGCCTCCACAATCCCCCGACCTCAACCAAATTGAGATGGTTTGGGATGAGTCGGACGGCAGAGTGAAGGAAAAGCAGCCAACAAGTGCTCAACATATGTGAGAACTCCTTCAAGACTGTTGGAAAAGCATTCTTCATGAAGCTGGTTGAGAGAATGCCAAGAGTGTGCAAAGCTGTCATCAAGGCAAAGGTTTGCTATTTTGAAGAATCTCAAATATAAAATATATTTTGATTTGTTTAACACTTTTTTGGTTACTAGATGATTCCATGTGTGTTATTTCATAGTTTTGATGTCTTCACTATTATTCTACAATGTAGAAACTAGTCAAAATAAAGAAAAACCCTTGAATGAGTAGGTGTGTCCAAACTTTTGACTGGTACTGTAAGAATTCATTCCCTTTACTCAGTACTTTGTTGAAGCACCTTTTGTCAGCGATTACAGCCTCGAGTCTTCTTGGGTATGACGCTACAAGCTTGGCACACCTGTATTTGGGGAGTTTCTCCCATTCTTCTCTGCAGATCCTCTCAAGCTCTGTCAGGTTGGATGGGGAGTGTCGCTGCACAGCTATTTTCAAGTCTCTCCAGAGATGTTTGATCGGGTTCAAGTCCGGGCTCTGGCTGGGCTCTCAAGGACATTCAGAGACATGTCCCAAAGCCACTCCTGCTTTGTCTTGGCAGTGTGCTAAGGGTCGTTGTCCTATTGGAAGGTGAACCTTAGCCCCCAGTCTGAGGTCCTGAGCGATCTGAAGCAGGTTTTCATCAAGGATCTCTCTGTACTTTGCTCCGTTCATATTTCCCTCGATCCTGACTAGTCTCCCAGTTCCTGCCACTGAAAAACATCCCCACAGCATGATGCTGCCATCACCATGCTTCACCGTAGGGATGGTATTGGCCAGGTGATGAGCGGTGCCTGGTTTCCTCCAGATGTGATGCTTGGCATTCAGGCCAAAGAGTTCAATCTTGGTTTCATAAGACCAGAGAATCTTGTTTCTCATGGTATGAGATTCCTTTAGGTGCCTTTTGGCAAACTCCAAGCGGGCTGTCATGTGCCTTTTTACTGAGGAGTGGCTTCCGTCTGGCCACTCTACCATAAAGGCCTGATTGGTGAAGTGCTGCAGAAATGGTTGTCCTTCTGGAAGGTTCTCCCATCTCCACACAGGTACTCTGGAGCTCTGTCAGAGTGAGCATCAGGTTCTTGGTCACCTCCCTGACCAAGGCCCTTCTCCCCCGATTGCTCAGTGTGGCCGGGCGGCCAGCTCTAGGAAGAGTCTTGGTAGTTCCAAACTTCTTCCATTTAAGAATGATGGAGGCCACTGTGTTCTTGGGGACCTTCAATGCTGCAGAACCTTTTTGGTACCATTTCCCAGATTATGTGCATCAACACAATCCTGTCTCGGAGCTCTACGGACAATTCCTTCGACCTCATGGCTTGGTTTTTGCTCTGACATGCACTGTCAACTGTGGGACCTTATATAGACAGGTGTGTGCCTTTCCAAATCATGTCTAATCAATTGAATGTACCACAGGTGGACTCCAATCACGTTGTAGAATCATCTCAAGGATGATCAATGGAAACAGGATGCAACTGAGCTCAATTTCGAGTCTCATAGCAAAGGGCCTGAATGCTTATGTAAATGTAATATTTCCGTGTTTTAATACATTTGCAAACATTTCTAAAAACCTGTTATTGCTTTGTCATAATGGGGTATTGTGTGTAGATTGATGAGGGGGAAAAAACAATTAAATCAATTTTAGAATAAGGCTGTAACGTAACAAAGTGGAAAAAGTGAAGGGGCCCGAATACTTTCCGAATGCACTGTATGCTTGTGGTTTATTAATTAAGACATATCGATACTATGAGTTAAAGGAAACCATCACAAAGCGTCATTTGTAATTCAAACCTAACCCCAGGTGACCCTCCAGGCCGTCCCGGAGGTCTCTAAACTGGGGCTGCAGCGTCGTGCTCTCATCCTCCTCACGGACGCCCAGCCCAGCTTCATGGATCCTCTCATAGACATCTACCAGCTGGGGAGTCTGGACCGGAGCACCCTGAGGCTGCATATCATCAGACTGCAGGCTCTCAACTGCTACAGGGAGGTGGGTTAGTGTTCTGCTATTCTCCTTCATCTGGTTGTTGTGGCGGGGTGGATGGGAATCAAATGAGTTAATCATGATGGAGTCAGACAAAGCTGTATTAGGTGAATTAATGAAACTATAAATCTCTTGTTTTGGAATCGAAATGAATGTTTTTAGATATGAACAATTAGTAACGTATATTTGATTCAATGTTATAATTGTTTTTCAGGCTGCGTTGTTAACCATGAAACTGGAGCTTCAGAATGAATTGGATATGGAGGAGGTGAGAGATCAGAACTTGTTATCAAAAGCAAAGGTGTGTCTGTGTGTGTTGCTACTAAACCATAACCCCCTCGTGTGTGTGTGTGTGTGTGTGTGTGTGTGTGTGTGTTGCAGATGTGTGTCCCCCTGATTCTACAGGACAAGCTTCCTATGGCTGAATCATTTGTAAGGGGCCATCCTAAACTGGAGGAACATATGGTCACACTGCTGGACTCCTGGTGCCATCCTGACTTCAGCATAGCACAACTATGCAGGTATGGTTTGTTTGACTCTCTTTTTCTGTGCGGTGTGTGTGTGCGTTTGTGACATTAGTTGGGTGGTTTATGTTTCCTTGTGCTTCACTGCAGGCAGTTCCCCCGCTTGTCCCTCTCCAAACATCAAACTGATCAAATCCAGCCTAAGATGCTCAGCAAACAAGTGTTTCGACTGATGGAGAAATTTAACATCGACCCAGGTGTGTGTGTGCGTGCGCATGTGTGTGCGTGTGTTTTCTGATGTGCCCATGTGTATCACTGATCATCAGTGTGCCTAATCAATATTTTCAGTGGTTTCATTTTTCACTTTGCAGGCCTGTGTCCCAACTCTGTGTACAAGCGTAAATCGGACTCCATGCGTTTCCTCATGTATAAAAGGTTTGTGGAGGTAAGCAGCAGGCCTGGGGCCTTTAACATGATACCTTTACATTTGAGTAATTTAACAGGCGTTCTTATGCAGTGTCACTTGCAATCAGGTCATTCAATTAAAGTATGTTTCTTTATGTTCTGTGAGGCCTCTGCTTTTCGCCCCATTCACATGTCCTCACTTCTCACCCCTCTGTCTTTCAGAAAGGCATGTCAGAGGAGAACTGGAGTGACCATGTACAGGTACGCCATGTGAAATTAGCTTCAATTTTTGCTTAGTTTAGTTTGTTAAAAATGCACAACAGGGCCCATGCATGATATAATCTCAGTTTCTCAGTCATTGGTTGGTTGATTGATGGTGTGTGTGTGTGTTCTGTGTTCACTATATTGACGAGTATGGTCAGTCCACAGTGGCAGACGACCCAGAGCTGCAAATCCAGTTGGTGGAGCTGATGGTCAAATATGGTGGGATGGTCAGTGCTGCCCAGTGGTCACTACGCTACGGTCTCCCCAAAGATCGGCTGCCGTTTGGGGTGTGGGACACACAGGAGAGCCTACCACCCTCGTTGAGGTAAGGAGCTGTGGATAGCCTACCACCCTCGTTGAGGTAAGGAGCTGTGGAGAGCCTACCACCCTCGTTGAGGTAAGGAGCTGTGGAGAGCCTACCACCCTCGTTGAGGTAAGGAGCTGTGGAGAGCCTACCACCCTTGTTTAGGGAAGGAGCTGTGGAGAGCCTACCACCCTTGTTTAGGGAAGGAGCTGTGGAGAGCCTACCACCCTTGTTTAGGGAAGGAGCTGTGGAGAGCCTACCACCCTTGTTTAGGGAAGGAGCTGTGGAGAGCCTACCACCCTTGTTTAGGGAAGGAGCTGTGGAGAGCCTACCACCCTTGTTTAGGGAAGGAGCTGTGGAGAGAATGTAGGAATGAAGGAAAAGAATGTCATCTTATCAATCAGTCAATCAACGTCTGTGTGTGGTCCATTGTCCACACACACACTCATTCAATCCTGTGCCTCTTCTTCAGGGAGGTATCTAAAGGTTGCAGTGCTGAGTCGTGGGACCCGCCCCAGGCACACCGTGATAGGTTCTACCAGCTGCCAATCACCAGGGACCATGTCCACTTCCTGGAGACCCTGGAGGGGCTGCAGCTCTGCAGAGAGACAGTGCTACAGGTATCAATCAATCAGAGAGGTGGTTCCACTGATGGCTTGTGTGTGTGTGTGTGTACACGATAGCATGTAATAATTTGAATAAGCTTAGTTTATAAAGGTTCTCTTGTAGAAAATGTGCAGCCTAAATCCCATGTAAGCACTAAACACCTATGAAAACTGTTAACTGTGGTAAAATAATAGCATTTATAAACTGGGTGGTTCGAGCCCTGAATGCTGATTTGGCTGACAGCCATGGTATATCAGACCGTATACCACGGGTATGACAAAACATTTATTTATACTGCTCTAATTACGTTGGTAACCAGTTTACAATAGCAATACGGCACCTCTGGGGTTTTTGGTACATGGCCAATATACCACGGCTAAGGGCTGTATCCAGGCACTCCGCGTTGCATCGTGCCAAAGAACAGCCCTTAGCCGTGGTATATTGGCCATGTACCACACCCCCTCAGGCCTTATTGCTTAATTATATAAGCATGTCTGAATATTCCCAACCCCTAAATATCTCCCCTCCTCTCCCCTGTTCTCCAGCCTGGTTGTATAGTAGGTGTGGACATGGAGTGGAGGGCAGGGTTCGGTGCAGTGTCTCCCCAGCAGAGGGTAGCTTTGATCCAGCTGGCTGTGCCAGGCCAGGTGTTCCTGTTGGACCTGTGTGCCCATGGATTCTCTCAACACAACATCACTGTCACCTTTATCAGGAGCCTCTTCTCTGCTCCCACAGTCCTCAAGCTGGGTGAGTGGAGGGATCGGTCTATATTGGATTTATTTTTGTCTTCAAAACATTTGGGGAAAGGGTCTTGATGTGCCTTCAGTGCCTTAGGTTGTCTGTCCATGTGTCGGCCAGACCTATGTTCAAATAATTGTCCTAATACTTTAGATGTGCTTTATTGAGCTCGTCTGACACAATGGAATGAACCAATGGAATAATCCAGGCAGGCTCAATTATATACTATTTTGAACCCTGGTCTGACATGACTCTGTCTGTGTCCAGGTTATGGGATGGCAGGGGACCTGAAGTGTCTCCTGGCCACATGGTCCCAGTTCTCTGAGGAACCTCTGAAGATGGAAGGAGTGTTAGATCTACTGAACGTGCACCAACAGGTACAGTACAGTTCACCTCAGACCCACCTGGTCTACTGGAGCGTGTTGGCCCTAGAGAGGGTTATGTACATACGGCATATCTGACTATACATTACCAAGATCATCTGAGTATTTTCACCCTCTAGCTGCAAGCTTTGAGGCACAGTCAAGACTACATTCAAGTTCTTCTGGGGGTATAGATTTGTATTTGTATTTGTAGATGGTAGGCTATATAGGTTAAAAAGCAGCAAAACTACATTATAAGATTATATAAAAACAGGCCGTGTTACTACATTATTGAAAATAGGCTTCCCCTCTTCTAAGCGTGACCAGTATCCTGTATGTGTGTGATCCCTAGATGCAGCGTAGTGCCAGCAGTCGGGGTGGCAGTGGGGGTCCCCGTGGAGTGCTGGTTGGGGAGGGCCCATCAGAGAAGGGTCTCAGTCTCCTGGTCCAGCAGGTCCTGGGGAAACCCCTGGATAAGATGGAACAGCTGTCTAACTGGGAGAGACGACCACTGAGGACGAGTCAGCTACGATACGCAGGTAAACCCACACGCTACGGAGGTACACACACACACACACACGCACACGCACACTCACACTCACACACACACACACACACACACTCTCTCTCTCAAAATTCAATTCAAAGGGATATATTGGCATGGGAAACATATGTTTACATTGCCAAAGCAAGTGAAATAGATCATCAACAATAAAAAAAAAAACAGTTCCAAAGGAATAAAGACATTTCAAATGTCATATTATGTCTATATACAGTGTTATAACGATGTGCAAATAGTTGAAGTACAAAAGGGAAAATAAATAAACATAAATATGGGTTCTATTTACAATGGTGTTTTGTTCTTCACTGGTTGCCATTTTCTTGTGGCAACAGGTCACAAATATTGCTGCTGTGATGGCACACTGGTATTTCACCCAATAGATATTGGAGTTTATCAAAATATTATTTGTTTTCGAATTCTTTGTGGATCTGTGTAATCTGAGGGAAATATGTGTCTCTAATATGGTCATACATTTGGCAGGAGGTTAGGAAGTGCAGCTCAGTTTCCACCTCATTTTGTGGGCAGTGTGCACATAGCCTGTCTTCTCTTGAGAGCCAGGTCTGCCTACGGTGGCCTTTCTCAATAGCAAGGCTATGCTCATTGAGTCTGTACATAGTCAAAGCTTTCCTTAATTTTGGGTCAGTCACAGTGGTCAGGTATTCTGCCACTGTGTACTCTCTGTTTAGGGCCAAATAGCATTCTAGTTTGCTCTGTTTTTTTGTAAATTCTTTCCAATGTGTCAAGTAATTATCTTTTTGTTTTCTCAGGATTTGGTTGGGTGTAATTGTGTTGCTGTCCTGGGGCTCTGTGGGGTCTGTTTGTGTTTGTGAACAGAGCCCCAGGACCAGCTTACTTAGGGGACTCTTCTCCAGGTTCATCTCTCTGTAGGTGCTGGCTTTGTTATGGAAGGTTTGGGAATCGCTTCCTTTTAAGTGGTTGTAGAATTTAACGGCTTTTTTCTGGATTTTGATATTTAGCGGGTATCGGCCTAATTCTGCTCTGCATGCGTTATTTCTCTCCGTCTCTCTCTCTCGCTCTCTCTCTCTCTCTCTCATTCTTGCGAAGGCCAATAAAGGGAACTGAACTGGAGCCTCGTTCCAATGTCCATAGCTACTTCCTAGAATGCCTGCCCAATATATGTCCTCATACTTCAGTAGTATCCTAGTGTAGACATTTTAAATGCTGTCTGTCTTTGAAGAGATAAAGGGACAGACGATACTATCTCTCTCTTTTGATCTTCCTCTTATCTTTATGAGCTCTCTTATCTCTTCATCACATATTCTTTCCAGTTATTTTCTCTCACGCCTTCTCACGTCTACCTCCTCACCCTCCTCTCTCTCTCTCTCTGTCTCTCTCACACCCTCCTCTCTCACCCTCCTCTCTCTCTCTCTCTCACACCCTCCTCTCTCTCTCTCACCCTTCTCTCTCTCTCTCTCACACCCTCCTCTCTCTCTCACCCTTCTCTCTCTCTCTCTCTCTCACCATCCTCTCTCTCTCTCTCTCACCCTTCTCTCTCTCTCTGTCTCTCAATTTCAATTTCAATTTAAGGGCTTTATAGGCATGGGAAACGTGTGTTAACATTGCCAAAGCAAGTGAAGTCGATAGTAAACAAAAGTGAAATAAACAATAAATATTAACAGTAAACATTACACTCAGAAGTTCCAAAAGAATAAAGACATTTCAAATGTCATATTATGTATATATACAGTGTTGTAACAATGTGCAAATAGTTAAAGTACAAATGGGAAAATAAATAAACATAAATATGGGTTGTATTTACAATGGTGTTTGTTCTTCACTGGTTGCCGTTTTCTTGTGGCAACAGGTCACAAATCTTGCAGCTGTGATGGCACACTGTGGTTTTTTCACCCAGTAGATATGGGAGTTTATCAAAATGTGTTTGTTTTTCAAATTCTTTGTGGATCTCTGTAATCTGAGGGAAATATGGGTCTCTAATATGGTCTCTTTTTCTCTCTCTCTCTCTCCAGCTGTCGACGCGTACTGCTTACTGGACGTCTACTCAGCCCTCTCTTGTGACCCAGCATGCTTTGGGCTGCCACAGGACTTGTGCTCGATCTCCTCACTTCAGACGGAGAAGAGTAAAGCGGAGAAGAAGAGTAAAGAGGAGAAGAAGAAGCAAGCCCGGGTCAGAGGCTAACTACAACTTTGCCACATCGCCGCCACTATTGTTTTGTTTGGTTAAGGGTTAGCCAGGGTTGTCATGGCTAAATTTTTTAAACATCATGAAACCTGAATTCCAAGAAGTGTTACTCCCTATAAAGCTCAATGAGGTGATGACAAGTTCACACAACTTAGTCCTGGGTGGTTTCAGTACTCTGATTCTACTTCATAGGCTACGTAGAACCAAGCAGGGATAGAATGGCTCTTTTTAGAATGTCTCCTCTACCAATCAGAGCAGGGTTTAGGTCTTATTGGACAGGGTCAGGAAGTACCTCCCTATTTCAAAACGTTTCTCTCTATTGAACACAACCCATGTTTAAAGCTTTCTCTCTCTGTAATATCAGGCACGCCGGGAGTCAGACCAAGCCCCAACCTCGACCCTAGGCCCAGAGAGAACTCCCCAGCCTGGGGAGGAGAGTCAGAGTCCACTGCCCCCCCCCATGGCTCCTCAGCAGCTGCGTGTGGTGTGTGACAACATGCTACAGGGTCTGGGGCGCTACCTGCGCTGTCTGGGGGTCGACGTGGTATTGCTGGAGAATACTGACGACCACAGGGTGGCTGCACAGGTAGGATACACAGTAGGACTGACAATAGAGAGGCACACACACATATTCACTGAGGCAGAAACTTGGAGAATGACGCTCTCTCTATATTTTCTTCTGTTCCTCAGTTAGCCCAAGAAGACGGACGAGTCATACTCACCTGTGGTCAGCCGTACCAGACGGTAAATATGAACTGCATGTTCGAGTGAATGTCTCATTATGTCTGTGGTTGAACTGGGTTCTAACTGTACAGTTGGTATATGCGGAGTCAGGAGATGTTCATTGTGTGTTTGTGTGTCTAGCTGAAGTCCCAGGTGGGAGAGGGCCGCTGCATTGCGCTGGACTGCTCAGAAAAAGCCCGGGACCAGGCAGTACGAGTCCTGAAACACTTCAACGTCCAGCCAACCCAGTCAGACATATTCAGCCGCTGTCAGGTCGGTCAACAGTGTGTGTGTGTGGGTGTAATCGTTTGTATGTGCGTGTGCGTACGTGCCATGGTTTCCGTTAGGGAAGTTTGGCACCGGACAATGTGAACGGCAAGATTTTAATTTACTGGATATTTGAGAAATTTACCGGACATTTACATTTTAAATTACTCTGCCATTTTTTAAGTAATGTCCACCCTGTCCTTGACTTTTCCTAAATAAGTCTATAGAACACACTGTCGTTGTTAGAATCTTAACATCACTAACAGAATGTGTGTTTATAAGCAGTTTGTAAGAATTTGCCCCTCATTCACCGCCAGTCAGCCTGCGCAGCTGATGGCCCATCGAATCTACACCTAAACTACACTGAACACAAATATAAACGCAACATGGAACAATTTCAAAGATTTTATTGAGTTACAGTTCATATAAGAAAATCAGTCAATTGAAATAAATAAATTAGGCCCTAATCTATGAATTTCACATGACTGTGAATACAGAGATGCATCTGTTGGTCACAAGGTAGGGGCGTGGATCAGAAAACCAGGCAGTATCTGGTGTGACATCCATTTGCCTCATGTAGCGCGACACATCTCCTTTGCATAGAGATGATCAGGCTGTTGATTGTGGCCTGTGGAATGTTCACCCACTCCTGTTCAATGGCTATGCGAAATTGCTGGATATTGGCGGGAATGGAACATGCTGTCGTACACGTCGATCCAGAGCATCCCAAACATGAGTACGCAGGCCATGGAAGAACTGGGACATTTTCAGCTTCCAGGAATTGTGTACAGGTCCTTGCGACATGGGGCCGTGCATTATCATGCTGAAACATGAGGTGATGGTGGCGGATGAATGGCACGGTATCTCTGTGCATTCAAATTACCATCAATAATGCGATTGATTGTGGTCGTTGTCCGTAGCTTATGCCTGCCTATACCATAACCCCACCGCCACCATGGGGCACTCTGTTCACAACGTTGAAATCAGCAAACTGCCCTGCCCGGTACAGTTCAAACTGGGATTCATCCGTGAAGAGCACACTTCACCAGCTTGCCAGTAGCCATCGAAGGTGATAATTTGCCCATTGAAGTTTGTTACGACGCCGAACTGCAGTCAGGTCAAGACCCTGGTGAGGACGACGAGCACGCAGATTAGCTTCACTGAGACTGTTTCTGACAGTTTGTGCAGAAATTCTTTGATTCACAGTTTCATCAGCTGTCTGGGTGGCTGGTCTCAGATGATTCTGCAGGTGAAGAAGCCGGATGTGGAGGTCCTGGGCTGGCGTGGTTACAAGTGGTCTGTGGTTATGAGGCCAGTTGGACGTACTGCCAAATTCTGTAAAACAACGTTGGCGGCGGCTTAGGGTAGAGAAATTAACATTCAATTCTCTGGCAACAGCTCTGGTGGACATTCCGGCAGTCAGCATGCCAATTACACGCTCCCTCAACTTGAGACATCTGTGGCATTGTGTTGTGTGACACAACTGCACATTTTAGAGTGGCCTTTTATTGTCTCCAGCACAAGGTGCACCTGTGTAATGATAATGCTGTTTAATCAGCTTCTTGATATGCCACACCTGTCAAGTGGATGGATTATCTCACTAACAGGAATGTAAACAAATTTGTGCACAACATTTTAGAGAAATAACGTTTTTGTGGGTATGGAACATTAATGGGATATTTTATTTCAGCTCATGAAACATGGGACCAACACTTTACATGTTGCGTTTATATTTTGGTTCGGTAATATATCTAAACTAATTCACACACACAATAAGAGTTAGCCTAAAGACCAGATTAAATTGACAGTCTGATGGGTGACAATATTATCAATTGTCAAATTGTATATAAAGAGAAGGGCACAGATTGGAATTGACACGGAGTCAAATCCTCCTACAGAGTCACATGCAGTTAAGACGTTGTGATTTCAATATGGTGTCAGAAAGAGCAGATTCTGTATTTCCATCAATGAATGAAAAGCATTATTTTGCAATGAAATGTTTTTTGCTCCCGGAAAGTTAGGGCCGGCAAAAAAAAGTATTATCGGCTAAAAGCCCCAATTACCGGCAAGCGGACAGTTTGGCCTGGTACGTGCACATGCATGTGTATTCACTTACAGTCATTTTCACATGGACAGTTTCATCATTTCTGTTTCACTCTGAAGATAATAATCTACATAATGAAATCATTAGGAAGAACACTCATCTGATTTCCAGATAACTCCCTGTATCACTTCCTGTTCATAACATTACATTTAGATTTTATATTTTAGTCATTTAGCAGACGCTCTTATCAAGAGCGACTTACAGTTAGTGAGTGCATACATTTTCATACTGGCCCCCCGTGGCAAACGAACCCACAACCCTGGCGTTGCAAGCGCCATGCTCTACCAACTGAGCTACAGGGGACTTGTGAATGTGGTCGTGCATTATGTCATCATAGACTTGTGCACATTATTCTTTAGCTTAAATACTATCAGAGCAACTGTTGAACAAGGGTGTGAAACTGAAGGGTGTGGAACTCTTATGAACATAAACAACAGAAAAATATTGGTTGCTAGGGTGATGTGTACGGAATAAGCCAGCTCATGGTAGTTTAGTTCCTTTTAATGTATTCGTCATGAATGATACAAAAAAGACACTTATGACGTGTTAGCAGAGTTATTAGTCAGTCATTTGCCCAAGGGATGTCCAGTACTATACAGTATCTCTAAGACACATGTCATGTCCTGGAATGGTGGAAAGGAATTGAGTGTGTCAGGAAGTAGCAGAGAGAGGGCAGCGCTGGAGACCAGTTTCCTGTAAATCATAATGTTTGAAGTGCCTACTGTGGTAATATCACTGGAACAATGGGATCTTTACTGTGTGCTGTAAACAGGAGGTGTCTGCTGGGAACCGACAAGACAGACAGACAGAGCAGAGAGAGGGGTCAGCCACGGAGAGGAGAGGAGAGGAGGAGGAGGGCATAGAGGAGGCGTAGGGAGACAGAGGGGGAGAGGAGGATGGGGGAGACGGGGAGGAGGATGCGGGAGACGGGGAGGAGGATGGAAGAAACAGTAGAATGGATGTAAAGCAGAGGAAGGTGAAATATGCAGACAGAGGATAAAAGCGATTGATAGAGAGAAGGTGAAATATGCAGACAGAGGATAAAAGAGATTGATAGAGAGAAGGTGAAATATGCAGACAGAGGATAAAAGAGATTGATAGAGAGAAGGTGAAATATGCAGACAGAGGATAAAAGAGATTGATAGAGAGAAGGTGAAATATGCAGACAGAGGATAAAAGAGATTGATAGAGAGAAGGCGAAATATGCAGACAGAGGATAAAAGAGATTGATAGAGAGAAGGCGAAATATGCAGACAGAGGATAAAAGAGATTGATAGAGAGAAGGTGAAATATGCAGACAGAGGATAAAAGAGATTGATAGAGAGAAGGTGAAATATGCAGACAGAGGATAAAAGAGATTGATAGAGAGAAGGTGAAATATGCAGACAGAGGATAAAAGAGATTGATAGAGAGAAGGTGAAATATGCAGACAGGATAAAAGAGATTGATAGAGAGAAGGTGAAATATGCAGACAGGATAAAAGAGATTGATAGAGCGAAGGTAGAAAAGGCATGAAATAAGAGAGATAATGTTCAGACCTGATTCTTTAATACCATATGCTGTCAAGTCATCTGTTTATTTGTACGATCCTCTAACTACAGAAGTCCATCTTTTCATGTTCTATTGGGCAATACCTATAATGTTTACCAACAAACATTACTGGGGTAATGTTTTGATGTATTGTTGTTTTCTACATTTAAGTGTGGGAAAATAAGATATGATTCTTATTTCAGATGTTTGAAGATACAGTGCTTTCGGAAAGTATTCAGACCCCATTTGACTTTTTCCACATTTTGTTCTGTTACAGCCATATTCTAAAATGAATTATATTGTTTTTTTCCCTCTTCAATCTACACAATACCCCAGAATGACAAAACAAAAACAGGTTTTTAGAAATTTTATTTTATTTGAGAAAAATCAAATAAAAACCTACATCACATTGACATTAGTATTCAGACTCTTTACTCAGTACTTTGTTGAAGCACCTTTGGAAGCGATTACAGCCTCAAGTCTTCTTGGGTATGACGCTACAAGCTTGGCACACCTGTATTTGGGGAGTTTCTCCCATTCTTCTCTGCAGATCCTCTCATGCTCTGTCAGGTTGGATGGGGAGCGTCGCTATTTCCAGGTCTCCAGAGATGTTCGATCGGGTTCAAGTCCGGGCTCTGGCTGGACCACTCAAGGACATTCAGAGACTTGTCCCGAAGCCACTCCTGCGTTGTCTTGGCAGTGTGCTTAGGGTTGTTGTCCTGTTGGAAGGTGAACCTTCATCCCAGTTTGAGGTCCTGAGTGCTCTGGAGCAGGTTTTCATAAAGGATCTCTCTGTACTTTGCTCCGTTCATCTTTCCCTCGATCCTGACTGTCTCCCAGTCCCTGCCTGCTTAAAAACATCCCCACAGCATGATGCTGCCACCACCATGCTTCACTGTAGTGATGGTTCCAGGTTTCCTCCAGACATGACGCTTGGCATTCAGGCCAAAGTTCAATCTTGGTTTCATCAGACGGGCGGCCAGCTCTAGGAAGAGTCTTGATGGTTCCAAACTTCTTCCATTTAAGAATGATGGAGGCCACTGTGTTCTTGGGGACCTTCAATTCTGCAGAAATGTTTTGCTACCCTTACCCAGATCTGTGCCTCAACACAATCCTGTCTCTGAGCTCTACGGACAATTCCTTCGACCTTCCTTCTTCTCTGACATGCGCTGTCAACTGTGGGACTTTATATATACAGGTGTGTGCCTTTCAAAATCATGTCCAATCAATTGAATTTACCACAGGTGGACTCCAATCAAGTTGTAGAAACATCTCAAAGATGATCAATGGAAACAGGATGCACCTGAGCTCAATTTCGAGTCTCATAGCAAAGGTTCTGAATACTTATATAAATAAGGTATCTGTTTAGTTTTTTTTATACATTTGCAAAAATGTCTAAAAACCTGTTTTTGCTTTGTCATTATGGGTTATTGTGTGTAGATTGAGGATTTTTTTTTATTTAATCCATTTTAGAATAAGGCTGTAACGTAACAAAATGTGGAAAAAGAGAAGGGGTCTGAATACTTTCCGAATGCACTGTAAGTTGAGGCTAGTCAGTCAACCAGTCAGACTACAGGACAGATTTTAGACAAGACCTGGGTGTTCTGTCCTGACCTCCAAGGGGGTCCCTCCTTCCCACTTGTAAATTCTTAGCTCGTGGTCACTGACTGACTACTGGACAAATATCTCCCTCCTCAATGCCTCCAGCCACCATTGGTCCCAGGCAGAGACTGTTTGTCTGTTTGCCTCAAATGGTTTTGACACTGACTACACTGCTTCTTCTAACCTATACAGTATATGTGGAAGAGAGAGGACCTCAGTTTAGTTTAGTTTGAGAGTTGGTTTGTGGTCTGAAATATGTTTGATTGCTGCTAAAGACTCATGAAAAGTTGCAATGCAAAAACCAGTGTCTTAAACTAGGCAAAGTGAGCAGCTTTGTAAACAGATCCAATAGACTGAATTCTATACACAATTGAACTTCAGTTCCTTGTGTGACGTAGGCCATTGACAAACCACTTCTATATAGTCAGTGGTGAAACAGTGAAGGGATGCGTGATATGAAGGGGGAAAGAGGTTGATATTGGGAAGGAAGGGTGCGTGTCTGAGCGCTCACTGTTGAAAGCCCACCCAGGCCAAGTTAACCCCTTTGTAAAGTCCTTTGATTAGCTGTGGGTGGGTGTCTTTCTCTTGACCAGGCCCAGCCTCAACTCCCACCAAAGCCCTACCGAGCCCCCACTTCCAGCTCCCCCGTTCTGCACACACACAGTGGATGGGTGTCTTTCTTGACCAGCCTCAACTCAGACCCCCTCCCTTTCTGCTCCCCTGTTCCCCCTGAAAGCCTCTCTCTCTCTCTGGGAGGCACTAGAGGACATTCCTGGTCCTGAACCCCCTCTATACCCCCTGTGTGGCCCATTGATACACACGGCCAATGATTAACCCCTCTACCGCCTGAGAGAAGACCATGTCATTTATTTCAGTAATCCCCTTCTTTTTTTTTCTCTCTCTTCAATTCAATTTAAGGGCTTTATTGGCATGGGAAACATATGTTAACATTTTTTATTTATTTTACCTTTATTTAACTAGGCAAGTCAGTTAAGAACAAATTCTTATTTACAATGACGGCCTACACCGGCCAAACCCGGACGACCCTGGGCCAATTGTGCGCCGCCCTATGGGACTCCCAATCACGGGCAGTTGTGATACAGCCTGGAATCGAACCAGGGGGTCTGTAGTGACGCCTCAAGCACTGAGATGCAGTGCCTTAGACCGCTGCGCCACTCGGGAGCCCATTGCCAAAGCAAGTGAAGTACATAATAAACAAAAGTGAAATAAACAATAAATATTAACAGTAAACATTACACTCAGAAGTTCCAAAAGAATAAAGACATTTCAAATGTCATATTATGTATATTACAGTGTTATAATGATGTACAAATAGTTAAAGTACAAAAGGGAAAATAAATAAACATAAATATGGGTTGTATTTACAATGGTGTTTGTTCTTCACTAGTTGCCCTTTTCTTGTGGCAACAGGTCACAAATCTTGCTGCTGTGATGACACACTGTGGTATTTCACCCAATACATATGGGAATTTATCAAAATTGGATTTGTTTTTTAATTCTTTGTGGGTCTGTGTAATCGAAGGGAGATATGTGTCTCTAATATGGTCATACATTTGGCAGGAGGTTAGGAAGTGCAGCTCAGTTTCCACCTCATTTTGTGGGCAGTGTGCACATAGCCTGTCTTCTCTTGAGAGCCAGGTCTGCCTACGGTGGCCTTTCTCAATAGCAAGGCTATGCTCATTGAGTCTGTACATAGTCAAAGCTTTCCTTAAGTTTGGGTCAGTCACAGTGGTCAGGTATTCTGCCACAGTGTACTCTCTGTTTAGGGCCAAATAGCATTCTAGTTTGTGCTGTTTTTTTGTTAATTCTTTCCAAGTAATTCTCTTTTTGTTTTCTCATGATTTGGTTGGGTGTAAATGTGTTGTTGTCCTGGGGACCAGCTTGCTTAGGGGACTCTTCTCCAGGTTCATCTCTCTGTAGGTGCTGGCTTTGTTATGAAAGGTTTGGGAATCGCTTCCTTTTAAGTGGTTATAGAATTTAACGGCTCTTTTCTGGATTTTGATAATTAGCAGGTATCGGCCTAATTCTGCTCTGCATGCATTATTTGGTGTTTTTTGTTGTACACAGAGGATATCTTTGCAGAGTTCTGCATGCGGAGTCTCAATTTGGTGCTTGTCCCATTTTGTGAATTCTTGGTTGGTGAGCGGACCCCAGACCTCACAACCATAAAGAGCAATGGGTTCTATAACTGATTCAAGTATTTTTAGCCAGATCCTAATTGGTATGTCGAATTTTATGTTCCTTTTGATGGCATAGAAGGCCCTTCTTGCCTTGTCTCTTAGATAGTTCACAGCATTGTGGAAGGTACCTGTGGCGCTGATGTTTAGGCCGAGGTATGTATCGTTTTTTGAGTGCTCTAGGGCAACGGTGTCTAGATGGAAATTGTAGCGCACTCTCTCTCGCTCTTTTTCTGTCTATCTCTCCACTCACTTCTCTTTTACTGTTTGAAGTTGTGTGTGAATCTGAGATTGGATTCCATTTTGCTTCTCTAAATGCTGACCTTTACCACAGTCGTACAAACCCAGTGATAATTCCCAACTCTGACTCTCTTTAGCAGGACTTTCGTTCAAATGACACTGCAGTATTTTGTGAAACGACCGCTGTAACAACTGGGAGAAGGGGTAGACCAGCTATCTGTAACAGTAGTTTCTGAGATTAACTCAGTGATGGGAAGGCAGTGTGTGCTTAGATCAGATCATTGTTTGTCTGCCAGCCTTT